CCCACGACCCCGCGGCCGCCCCAGTAGTCCCCGCACGCGCAGTGGCTTTCCAACGCGGCCTCTTCCCATTTCTCACTTGACTCCCCTTGCACATTAAATTGTCGAGAAATCTTTGGCCCTTGGGTCTTCAAAGTTAAACCAAATGGCTGTCCTTGCAGTCCTTGGCTACCTGAGGTCCCTTAATTCTGAACCACCCGCACCTGGGAGGGGAAGTTGGCAGGAGCGCTGGAGCTGAGCCCGCATCCTTAAGGATTCCGTTCACGGCTTATGATGGTAGCGCTTTGAATTAGATGTCAGGCTGTTCACGTCATCCAGACGCTGGTTTTCAGCTCTGTTCTGAGACAGTGTTTTGATATAGATCAGAGGATGATGTTCTTACGGAACAGTAACTTGCTGTATGTTCTGAGATACTAGACTGTGTTCATATTGTAGCACCGTCATCGTGTAAAACGGCACCTTTGAAAGATTTCAGTAAACACCGTCCTCAGGAACATCCGCCAGCACTTAAATTGTACTTCACTTTCACTTTGACGTTTGTTGTTTATGAATCTTGTGCACAATTTAAAGTGAGTCATCTAAACAGCACAGGATCGGGTGGTGCGGGGCATGGAGCAACTAGGGAGGAAAGCAGAGACTTGAACCTGGTGGAGTCTAGTTGGTCTGCGTTTTTGTGTTGGAGAACCATCCTGGTTCCAGCTTATTTTGTTATCGTAAATATGATGCATTTTTAAAATGCTTTCATCTGATACGGACTATCTGGACTGTAAGATTGAGTCTTGCTATGCATGGAATGTGTTTACTTCTGTTTTGTAGAAGATTTAGCCCATGGTATACTATTTGTAGGATTCATTTCAGACATTTTGTGTTTACCACATGCAGTCCCACCGGAAAGGGCTTTTAAAAAAGTGACCTGTGTTGTCTTTTATTGCTTATGACAACTCCAATTTTGGCACGTATTTGAAACTAGTGATCTTTATATAAAACCGACTTCACTCTTTCTCCCTGTTCAAACCTACAAACTCTGGTTACTTTTAGGTTTACTGCTCCCTTGTTAATTATTTATAATGAACTATGGAGCTATGGGCTTGCTTTAGTGTGTTGACCATTATTTGTGTCTTGTTTCAGGCATTTGCATATTGTTTTCTCTTCTGGAGAGTGATCTGCACTGTTTTCCTTCAGTGCTGTTTAGAAGAGCTTTAGGAAACCAGGAACATGTTCTATTTGCATTGCCCAATATGGTAGCACTAGCCACACATAGCTTTTGAGCGCTTGAATGGGGCTAGAGCAGTGGAAGAACTGAAATTTTAATTTTTAAAAATTTTCTTTTCCTTTTTTCTTTTTTTTTTTTTTGAGACAGAGTCTCGCTCTGGTGCCCAGGCTGGAGTGCAGTGGCCTGATCTCGGCTCACTGCAGCCTCTGCCTCCCAGGTTCAAGCAATTTGCCTGAGTCTCCCAATCTGCTGGGATTACAGGCACCTGCCACCACACCCTGTTAATTTTTGCTGTGGGGTTTCACCATATTGGCCAGGGTGGTCTCAAACTCCTGACCTGAGGTGATCTGCCCATCTTGGCCTCCCAAAGTGTTGGGATTACAGGCGTGAGCCACTGCACCTGGCCAATTTTTAAATTAATTTAAATAGTCACGTGTGGCTAGTAGTTAGCTGGTCAGACGCTACAGCTTTAACTTATTAGTCTCCAGGAAGCCTTCATTGACCCTCTTAAATCTGTGCTCTCATAGGACTCGGCTCTCCTTGGTCATAGCACTTACTACTTTCAGCTTTCTGGTAGGAATCAGCACTAGGCTGTAATCTACATGAAGGCAAGGACAGATCTGGTTTCCTTACCGTTTCATAGCTTAGAACTTAGTAAGAAAAACTGAATAAATATTTGTTGAATGCATAAATAGCTTTTTCAGGGTAAGTATTTCAATTTTGAATTATCTCTAGGGCCAGCTATGTGTCCAATACTGTAAATACCTGTTTAGTAGATTGTACAGATGTTATGTAGGTAGCAAATAAAAGGATCATGGGAGTTATGCTTTAAATACTTACGTGGTGAGATTGGAATCTCAGGAGAATGATGACTCATAACAAAGTATTATAGGAAATTGAATGAAAGGGCCTCATGCTTCCAGCTAATGTAGACACAGCTTCAGTCTCCTATTAGTTGAACAACTCAAGGATGTTCTTGAACCATATCTCAAATCTGAAGTCTCCTGGCTTCAGTAAGATTCTTTCATGGGGTCCAGACAGTCCTGAACCAGCCTGAAGATGCTAGTGGACATCCCCATTTATTACTGCTGTGTGTTAAAGCATGGACCAAGGAATCTTGGGAAAAAAAATCACAAGGTGTTTGAGCTGCTAGCTTTTGCTAACAGCTAACTTGGAGTGATGAGTAGGATGAAATTCCTGTAGAAATCAGAGTTTGGGGAATTTGATTCTAGCTATTGTTAGTATCAGAGGCACCTGTTTTTTAGACAGTTGATTAGGGCCAATTTTTTTTTTTTTTTTTTTTTTTTTGAGACAGAGTTTTGCTCTTCTTGCCTAGGCTGAACTGCAGTGGCGCGATCTTGGCTTACTGCAATCTCCGCCTCCCGGGTTTTCAAGCGATTCTCCTGCCTCAGCCTCCTGAGTATGGGATTACAGGTGCCCGCCACCATGCTTGGCTAATTTTTTTGTATTTTTAGTAGAGATGGGATTTTTGCCATGTTGGTCAGGCTGGTCTCGAACTCCTGACCTTGGGTGATCCACCTGCCCTGGCCTCCCAAAGTGCTGGGATTACAGGTGTGAGCTACCGTGCCTGGCAGGGCCAAATTTTTTTTTTTTTTTTTTTGGGCTTACTTTATAATCAGTTATCACCAGTTAACCATAGTTGGATTTGGAATGGAAGTATGTACTCAGTCCAGATCAGTATACTTAGACATTTGACCAAGAGTCCAAGTGTCATAGGTCTTCAGATCCAGGAATTGCTTTTAGGAAATGAATCTGAGACTATAGGAAGTTTATAGGGATACATAGTTTCCTTTGGTAGGACAAAAGGTAGAATGTTAAGTTTTTCATGAAGATAAGGAAATGTAACTAGGGAAAAATGCAACAAAGACAAAATACAAAGAATGTTGACTGCATTGGTCAGGTAATATTGTAGCTTCTCTGGACTTGAAGTATCTGATATGTAAAAGAATGAAGCTGGTTACATCTGATTGCATGAATGTTCTTTCCACTTTGAATCTAAGCTTTGAATATTAAAAATGTGTAACACACTGTTCTAGCCCCTGTGGTAACTGATAGTTGTGTAAGATACAGTTCATATCTTTGAGGATCTCAACAGTTTACAAGGAAATGAAAGGTGCTCTGGGGATCACTTAAAACATTTTTTTTTTTTGAATGAGAAACTCCACCCTTTGAAAGGGAAGTCATGTGGTGACTCCTCTTAACCAACTCAGACAGATATCCACTGAGTCACTTTGCTGAAGAATTAAGAGTATAAAAACATGTCTGAGTCCCAAACCGTAATTATAGTCAGATTAATTTTCCTAAAACAGCTTTAATCATGCTACTCTCTTTTAAAAAAAATCAGTTGTTTCCCAGTGCTCATGAAAGTAAGTAGTTTGGTCTGTGATTAGGCATTTGCTCCTCAGTATAGCCCTAAAAAGCCCTTACAGCCTCACCTCTGACTGTTTTCCTAGCCATGTCGCAAGTTCCAGCCCTACTGTTCCTTTAATGGGATCCCCTTTTATGTTTATACCTATTCATCATTCCAGACTCATCGCAGATGATACCTTCTTCACCATTTATGATTCTTAGAAGCTCCCACTGCAAATGTTCCTGGTACTTATGTGATGGAGCAGATCCCATTCTGCCTCATAATCTATGGTTATTAGTGGTATTTTATTCACCTTAATAGATTGTAAGCTATCTAACAAGCACGGACCATCTGTTAACTCATTTTCATATTCACTGAAACATCTAGAATAGTGCCCTGTATGTAGTGGTTCCTTAATAAATACTTACTACTGTTTGGAATTGATAACATTTGAGGAAGATCACCATTGCTATATAACACTAATTCCATGAACTTGTCATTTTCCTATTTATGTGGCAAGGTTAATGTCAAAATGCTTCTGAGTATTTGGTGGTAAGTAATTTTAGCATCTAAGAAAATGAATATCTTAAAATAGTGATAACTAGATTAGGTTACCTAAGATCTATGTCCATATAAGCACATGATTTTTGAGGAAAAAGTAAGCCTCCTACTTTTTACCAGTTCCTGCCAGTATTAAGAAAACATGAATCAAGTTGGGAAGACAACAGTGAGCTCAATGAAATGACTGTTTTATTGTACTGGGGCACTGATGGTAAGGATAGTTATGTTAGACACAGGGTTGGTTAAGTAGAACAGAGCACACATTAAGTAATAGCTAGTATGGTGTTATCTATTACCAGATCAAGCTATCGATTGCCTATTTTTATTCTGTGCTTTTTACTGAAACAATCTAAACTCATTTTTAATTTAGTTTTATATTTTTTTGCTTACATTTTAAAAACAGGGATTCATGATACTTCAGATTGTAAAGATCTGATACAAAAGAAACTGGAAGGCTTTTAGTTTCATAAGTTTGGTTTTATTAGCAGTTTCTCTGCTTTCTACATCATTTCTGAGATGTAGGCTAGGGTGTAGTACAAAGTCTAATTTAGAACGAATTTATTCTAAGCATTCATGTTGTCTGGGAAAAAGAGGTAATATAAGCCCCATGCTTTAAAAGACATGGCTTCCGTCTTCAGCCAGGATAGAACTCACAGACCCTCGGACCTTGTTAAGTCGAACAATCTTAGTAAACTCTTAGATTTGTAAGAGTGACGTGATTAATTTTCAGTCAAGTTTTCTGGGATAGAAAATAATGGAAACATTTTAAGGCAGATTATTTTCATGTGATGAGCACATGGCATGAGCTATTGGATGACAAATGATGTGACTTGTGCCAGCATTGTGGGAAGTTAAAGATTCATCTACAAGGGTTAATATGCCCTTGTTTGTTACATGAGTAGGAGGATTTCACCCATTTAGATTAGCTCAGCATTTAAAAAGTGTTTTCACCTATTATAGCTTATTCCTCTTGAGCTTTGTCTAGAAAGATTACATGCGCTGCCGACTGTATAAGAGGCGGTGTGAAGCAATGTATGCCTTTTAACAACAGTTTTGCCAAAAGGAATTTTTTCCCTTTCGTAAAAGATCCTTGCTGAAAATGTCAGCAGATTTGACATCAAAGAACTTTTAGGCTTTTTGTGATTGAAGGCAGTCATTCTAGGTTGCATACAAATAAAGTAGAAACACTTTTTTTTTCTTTTTTATTATAGGTGGCTTTCTAGAAGATGACCATAGAGGACCTTCCAGATTTTCCATTAGAAGGAAATCCTTTGTTTGGAAGATACCCATTTATATTTTCTGCTTCTGATACCCCAGTTATCTTTTCCATTTCTGCAGCACCAATGCCTTCAGACTGTGGTATGTGAAGTAGCTGTGCTTATTTTCTGAGAACTGGTAACTTCTCTGTTATGCCTTTTTTGTACTCATAGTTTTTCTTAGAACCATTTTTGTGGTTCTCATAAAATTGCTAAAGTTTTCCTTTTTCAAAAATACAATTGCTTATTGCTTTTTCTGCTTCTTAAGCTAAATGCTTTATTTCTGCTGTCAGCATTTATATTATGTTAAAATGTTCATTTTAAGCATCATGATGGATTTAGAGGACTTTATTTTTAGAATGCAATGGTGCTTAGCCATCTAGCATTCTTCTGTTATTGATGTATTTATTTTGGTTAAATATACTGACGTGCTAAAAAATCCATGTACTTCGGCAAAGAGGGTAAGAGACCCTTCCCTGGAATGTGAAATGAGATTGGTTAACGTTTAAATTGGTCCATTTACATCTCCTCTGTAAAACGTTAATTTAGAAGCATTCCACTTTTCATCTATTTAGGCTTATTTCTCCAGAACCATAATAAAAGAGAACCAGGAGATAAATTTGATAGAATTGTTAAATTTCCAATTTAGAGTTTTTCAAGTAAAATGTTGGTTCACCATTTCAAATTGTCTTTGGAGGTAGAGATAATACAAATTTTAAATATTAGTAGATATAAAGTTATTGGATTGAGGATTTGTCCTTTTAGTCATACTCATTGTAGTATAGTAATTCCTCATCTCCAAGTACCTTTTGTTGTTGTTGTTGTATTCAGATTCTATCCCAGCTTACCTAGACCAGTTATCAGAAGTATCATATAAAATCTGTACCTTGATTCTGGGAGTTATTTGCAGGTTTTGCAATAATTGACTGGGCTTATTTTCAGATACAACAAAATCAGTTATGGAGGGGAAACCTTGAACCTTGTGCATTGTCCCTTATGTATGATACTTGTCTCACTCCATCTTGACTTCTAATTGTCTTATATTCGTTCCTATATTGTAGCGCTTTGGGATGGAGAACAATCATACTTTATTTTTGTTTATCTCAAAAAGGCTAATATAGTCATTTGTTATTAGTTGCTCAATGATTGTTGAATAAATACATTGAATGAAAGGTGATAATGGATATTGACCCTTTGTATAACTGAAATTAAACATTGAAACCCCATCTCCACTAAAAATACAAAAATTAGCCAGGCATGATGATGTGCACCTATAATGTCAGCTACTCAGGAGGCTGAGGCAGGAGAATCACTTGAACCAGGAGGCAGAGTTTGCAGTGTGCTGAGATCACACCACTGCACTCCAGCCTGGGCCACAGAGTGAGACTTTGTCTCCAAAAAAAAAAAAAAAAAAAAAAAAAAGCATTGTAATCTTAGAATTACAGGTTCATAGACTCTTATGAACCTTTCCCTACTCACCTTCCTGTGTAGAAATTGTATTTTCAGGATCTCTGTCAGATAACCATTTAACCTCTTGCGTGTCTTCAATAGTGGCAAACTAACAAAATAGTCAATTTTATTGTTAAAAAGCTTTAGTTGTAACAAAACTGTGTTTGTATATTGACTCAGAATTGATCTCCCTGAAAGTTTGGCCAATTCTAGTTTGATACATGGCACAAATTCTTTTATAGGATAGCCTTTAAGTATTTGCAAATAGTTTGAACATTTTAAGTTAGTCTGAACCTCCTTAGGCTACACATTTCTGGTTCTTTCACCAGTTTCTCATTGTGAGGATTTCCAGACCCTTTTCTTCGTAGTTGCTTTGTTGGTACACTGTGGTCAGCGTCCTCTTGAAAAGCAGCATACATAATTGCATTTATTGAGCAAGTATTTATTGAAGGCCTCTTGTGTGCTAGGGACTGTCCTGGATGCTGGAAGTATCAGTGACCAAGACAGGTCTTCTAGTAGGGAACACAGTAAACAAACAAATGAATAGACAAAGCACAAATAGGTCATAATGAATTCTGTGGAACAAAGAAACAGGGTGCTGTGATAGAGAACAATGGAGCCAAGGCAGCTGCTTTAGATGGGGTGGTCATTCGGAGAATCAGAAGAGGCTGGCTGTGAGAAGAGCCTGGAAAGAAGTGTTCCAGGAAAAAAAACAGAAAAGTAAAGGCACAGTGTTGGGGGAAGATCTTGGTGTATCCTAAGAATTAATGGAAGGCCTCTGTGGCTGAGGGGCAAAGTGATTGATGGCAGAGTGGAAGGAGACGGAATTGGAGAGTAAGGCACCGGCCAGGTCATGCGGGGTCATGTAGGCCCCCATAAGGAATTTTTATGTGATACCAACTAATGAGCGTAAAACCAAGAAACAAAAAGAAACCAGTCCACAGAAATCAGAGTTGAGACATGTGACACGGTGTTGACTCTCAAGGTGATTACCCTGTAAAACTATGTACTGTTCTTGCACAACCGTTTTTGGAATCTTTTGCCTTGAAATGCCTTCAGAATCAGTTTATGCAAAACACACATTATATACATTATAAATATCACAATACCTTATATTTTGCTTAAAAATTGAATTATCTGTTAAATTTAAATAATATAAAAAGTCTCATTTACCCATGTAGTTACTGTTTCTAGTGCTCTTCATTCCTTTGTGTAGGTCCAGATTTCCATCTGGTACCATTTCCTTCTGCCTGAGGCACTTCCTTTAATGTTTCTTACGGTGCTGGTCTGCCAGTAATGAATTCTTTCAGCTGTTTTATGTCTGAAAACATCTTATTTACCTTCTTTTTTTGAAAAATATGTTTGCTGGGTTTAGAATTATAGGTTGGTAGTTTTCTTTCAGTACTTGAAAAATCTTGCTCTGCTGTCTTCCCATTTGCATTGTTTCTGCTGTCATTTTTGTTTCTCTAGATGTAACATGTCTGTTTTTTGGCTGCTTTAAAGAGTTTCTCTTTATTTTGAGCAATTTTACTATTATGCACTTAGGTATTATTTTCTGTGTGTTCTTGTTCTTGGAGTTGGTTGAATTGCTTGGATCTGTGGGTTTCAGTTTCCATTAAGTTTGGGAAATCATTAAAAAAGTTTTTTTTCTGCTTCTCTGCCTTTTCAGATACTGTAATTGCATGTTTGTTATAGACTGCTTGAAGTCCCACAACTCACTGATTTTTTTAATATTTAAACTTTTTTTCTCTTTATTTTGGTTAGTTTCTATTACTATATCTTCAAGTTCATTAATCTTTCTTTCTGCAGTGTCTAATTAGCTGCTGATTTTATCCAGTGCAGTTTTCATTTCAGATGAAGTTTTCATCTCTAAAGTTTACTTTGGCTTTTTTTTATGCCCAGGTCTCTTCTCCACCTTTGGACATTTGGAATAGAGTTATAATGACTGTTTTAATGTCCTTCTCTATGAATTATAATATCCGTATCAACTCTAGGTCTGTTTCATTATTCCCCTGATGATGGGTCATGTTTTCCTGTTTCTTTGCATGCCTGATAATCTTTAATTGGATGCCAGACATTGTGAATTTTACTTTGTTGGATGCTGGATATTTTTGTACTCGTGTAAGTATTCTTGCACTTTGTTCCGGGATACAGTTTAGTTACTTGGAAATAGTTGGACCCTTTGAGGTCCTGCTTTTCTGATTTGTTAGGTGGGTCTGGAGCCATTCTTGGTCTGGAGCTAATTATTCCCTACTGCTGAAAATTCTACTCCAGGGGTCTCCAACCCCCTGGCTACAGACTGGTACTGGTCCCCCTGCCCTGGCCCCTGGTGCCAGAAAGGTTGGGGACTGCTGTTCTACTCAATGCTGTGTGAATTATGAGGATTCTTTTTCAGTCTTCCTGGTGAGAATAGGTACTAATCCCTGTAGTCATTATGGATGGTTCTTTCCCTTACCTCAAGTATTTCCTCACAAGCATATGATGAATAGTTGAGGAGGACCCTCTGCAGGTCTCCGGGGTTCTCTTGCAGTGCGTGCATCCGTCTCTGCTGTATTCTGCCCTGTGACCTCTGGCCACCTCAAGTTCCCCAGACTCTCAGCTCTGTCTCCTCAACTCAGGGAGTTTGCTGGGCTTTTTCTTGGTCCCCCCCACCCCACCCCTGAACTGTGCTCCTGGAGACTTCCTCAAGGCAGTTAGCTGGGGCATGTGTAGGACTTTTCTCGTTTGTATTCCATTCCTCAGGGACCACTGTCTTTCACTGTCTAATGTCCAGTGTCTTGAAAACCATTGTTCCCTCCCTCTGGTGTTTTGGTTGTTTCAGTTGGAAGGGCAAATTTGGCCCTCATTATCCCATCTTGACTTAAAGCAGACATCACCTCCATTTTCTCCCCCCACCCCACTTTCTTTTGATAAAAGCTATTTTTTAGGCCGGGCATGGTGGCTCACACCTGTAATCCCCCCACTTTGGGAGGCCAAGGCAGGTGGATCACCTGAGGTTAGGAGTTCAAGACCAGCCTAACATGGTGAAACCCCATCTCTACTAAAAATATAAAAATTAGCCATGTGTGGTGGCGGGTGCCTGTGGTCCCAGCTACTTGGGAGGCTGAGGCAGGAGAATCGCTTGAACCAGGGAGGCAGAGGTTGCAGTGAGCTGAGATCACTGAGATCGGCCACTGCACTCCAGCCTGGGCGAAAGCGTGGACTCCGTCCCCACAAAAAATAGAAACATAAAACTTTTTTTTTTTTTATCTCAAAAGCTTGCAACAAGATAAGAAATACTTTTATTTTCCTGCATGGAAGTTGAAAATTCAAATGTAGTTAGATATGTTAATATTTTGCATTGTAGCTTAGAGGTTATGGTCTCATTCTGGCATTAATCCTGACTCAATCACTTTCCAGTTGTGTGATTTTGGGCAAATTGTTTATTTTCTCCCTTTGTTTCTTCTTTAAAATGGGAATAACAATAGTGCCTACTTCATGTGGTAGTTATGAGGATTAAATAAATTAATATACACAAAGTTCATAGAACAGTCCCTAGTATCTACAAGACACTTAATAAATCTAACTTATTGTTATTTAAATGAGCCATCTGGAGGGCAGCACGTTAAGAAGATTTCCAGATTTGCTCTTGGAGCATCTTGAGGTGTGAAATGAGGATGGCAGTTTCTACTGACAGACTTCCCTGGTTTGCAGTTTGAATGTCTTGGTTGATGTCATCAGATGTTTTGGTGAATTCTCTGGGTGACCCCCACAGAAACAGGCACAAAAGTTCCTTATGTGAGCCATGGTGGCGATTTGTCTAAAGTTTACATCAAATCATCCAGTAGGGGTTGGGGAAAAGGACAGTTTTAATAAATTGGAAATATTAGTTTGGAGAGTTGTAACCAGATATTGGAGGAAACTGGAGGAATTGAGGATCCAGTCCAGTTTGTAGGTGGATGACAACGCCCCAAAGACAATAAACAGGACTAGAATCTGATAATGGGTGTACTCTGAGTTTTCTGCGGAAACACAATTTTTCTCTCTACAGTTCCCCATTTCTACCAAAGATAATCACAGGCTAATTTGTTTGCAAATAAGTTTTGTCTCATTAAGCTGGCCTGATTATATACATAAGTGCAACAAGAATAGTGAATATGTGCACATTCTGAAGTATGCCATTCCAGTCAGAGGTTTGGTAATATCTTAGGGGCTTTATTGGTTCTGTAAAGTCAATCCGAATTCTTTAAAACTGGTAATAAGGAATCTGAAATGAGACTTTAAAAAGCCTTTTCAGTCTAAGAAACCAAGCAGAGGCCTTGCCCAATTGTGTCCTGTTAGAGGGAAAACAAACTTTTATTGAACTTACGTAAATGCTTATATTGCCATGAAAAAATACTCAATAAGAGTGTCTGAATTTTGGAGGGGTTGGGGTAGGGAGAAAAGAAAATGTTTACATTTTCTTTTTTTTTTTTTTTTTTTTACAAAAAGTATTCTTCACCAAATTGCTGTAAGTTGTAGGTCTTAAGGGAAAAGAGAAAAGGCGTTCTTTAAATCTAGAAAACAAACATTAAAGAACCCGCAATATTTCAAAGACATAAAAATTATCACCCTCATCAGTTCATTCAGTTCCCTGTAATTCTTGTCCTGCTTGATTTTGGGTTAGCAGCCTCATGAATCCGTTGGTTTGGTTTTCTATTACAGTTCTGGAAATTCTTACCCAGTCCAATGCTGTGATCTTAAAGTTATCAGAAACCTATACTTGTCAGAGTTTTTTCTGTAAATCTTCCTGCAATTTTGTATCACTGATGCTTACAAAAGCTTTCAGGAAAATATCAGAGTAAAAAATCACTGTCTGTAGATGGCAAAAGATTTAAAATGTCCATAGTTACAGATTTGATGAGAGTTCATTTTAATGCAGTTGACAAGGAAATTTGTTATTTGTTTTATAACATTTGAAGATAATAACTGGAATTATGACTGATAAAATTACACCAGAACATATCCAATTTCTAGGAATTTCATACAATTTCTAGAACACTTACATTAATAATATAGTCATACAAAAAGAACATAAGGAAGGTTGAGCATCACCTTTGACAATGCTTCTCATGCAATGTAATATATCAAGCCTAGTTTCACATTTATTTGACAAGGCTTCCCATGCAAAGATGCTTAATTACTTTAATGTCTGTGTGTGTGTGTGTGTGTGTGTGTGTGTGTGTGTGTTTTAATAAGGAAATAGAACAGATTTTCTAGGGGCCTCTGAAAAATCCCAGAATTAGTGTAAGGTCAGAAAAGACTTCATTCAGAATTTGAATTTTGGAAAGTTTATAAAAAATAACCCAAAAGATTCAAAACACTTGATTAAATAGATTACAGGTATTTAGTTATCCATTTAACCAAAGTGACAAAGATTTCAAAGGCAAATACAGAAAGCCATGTAGTTGTTTTAAAAAAAAAAACAAAAAAACCAAAACCCCTTGACTTTTTGAGAGAGAAACTTAATCAAAGACAACATGAAGCAATTATCTTGACAAAACACAGAATCTTTGTTTTCTAGGCAGACCATTCAAAAGTTAAAGAAAAACCTTTCACAGTCTCCCATCAAAAGCAGGCCCATACTCCAAGAAAGTCTAGTCATTTTTAACAGGAGCTCAAATGCTAGTTATGCCTTATTTTGATTTGAATCATAATAGATTCATTCAATTTTAGCCAGCTTAATCACATAAGATTCTCCTTCTCCCTCTTTTCAACTTCTTCTAGCCATTTTGTTTTTTTCCTTTATTTTCTTTTTCAAAAAACATATTTTCATACCTCATATCTTTTCTTGACTGTCATGCTGGCATTCTGTAGGTTTAGAAATCTATGAATATACCATAATTTCTGGAAGCACATGTTCCTTAAATTTTTCAGTGTAGCACAGGACATGTTTACTAACACACCCAGGTATCTTTAGTTTCTCTGTCCAAAAGTAGGTAACATTATGTTCAGCAATTAATGTTTCAGTATTTACCTTATGTGGACTTACATTGATTTAATTCACTTGTTTTGAACAATTATGCTTGGATTACTTAAGAAAATTTCATGAGACATTAAATCGCTAAGCATCATCTTGTTTTTCTTGCCGAGAAATTTTGTAACATGGAGATAGCAGAAGCTTATTTGTAATTCTCTAGTCTTGAACATGAGCTTATTCGACTAGTAAACCTACATAGAATCAAAGTTGTACATTTGCCTTATGTCTAATGCTGACAACTCTGAAGGCATATTGGTTTTTTAAACTAAACCAACAATGTTTTTGTTTATTGAAAATCACCCGAGTCACATGAACTTAAAAAGCATTTGAATTAGTTCCTATTTTTCTGAGAGTTTTCAGGAATACTTAATTTATATAAATACTTGTTTTTACTTATATCTATTGAACATACATAGCTATAAGATTTCTGTGTCTGTATGTTTATGTGTACAGACAGACACAGATCTTATAGCTTTCATTTCCAAATTTTAGCCATGTGTCAGTTAAAATAATACAAAGCTTATTAGTTTATGAAAGAAGCTAGATGCAAATTGTACCTCTGAGAGATGGAACAAGTCAAGGTTACCTGCTCAGATGGCTACAGCTTTTTAGGGAAGCTTTTTTTTTTTTTTAATTTGAATGCTGTAGGGATGCTTTTAGAGAAGCTATTTTTGAGTCATTTTGTGTCCAGAAGCTTCTGCATACAAATCCAAGAATGCATTCCATTGTCTCTGAAAGGCTCAGGATACTCTTTGTTCAAGGGCACTCCCAAAGGCAGACTGACTATCTTATCTAAAATTAAACGTTCTCCGAAGTGGTCACTGAAATTGCAAATTATTCTTTGTAAAGTTCACCCATTTTTCCAAAAAGGCACAAGATTCTGATCCACAGTTGTTTCTGGACCCCATGTTTGCATTAGATTCTCTGAAAAGTCTTAACTATTAAGGATTCTTTTTTCAGCAGCTGCTCTGGAACACAGGAATCACGCGTTTCACCGTTCCCCCTTTTGAGCAGAATAGGGTGACTTCCTGAGAAGTTTCAGCAAAGGTTGCTCAGCATAATTGGAGAGTTCTACACAGAAGGAGGAGAGCTCAGATTCAAAAGAGACTTACTCTAGAACTCCATGGCCGGGTGAGAGAGCAGCCAGTGCCACGGCCGTGGGTACCAGCCCCTAGTTACTCACTGGCTTTGGGGCTTTGCAGGGGTCTTCTTCTGATCCTGCTTCGGACACCAAAAACTGTCAAGAAAATCCAGGGTGCTTTTCTTAATATAAATATTAAGTGAGTAAAAAAACTGCAAACAGGGAGACTTTCCAAACCAAGGTAAGAAGCTTGTCTCATGAAGGTCATAGTAAGGTTTATAAAGCCTAGAAGAGGAAATTCATATAGCTTAATTCTCACTGGTTAGAATGAGTGGGTTAGTTTGGTCATTGCTGATTTGCTACAACGTGCTGAGTCTTGCTGACCAAGCTTCATGTGCAGTTTAGGTAGGTGTTTTGGAGAATAGGTCCTTATAGGTTTTCCTGAGCTGGATGTGGGACATTGGCTCAGAGGCCAAGGTTTGTCTTGGCTTCTATTTTGATTTTTGCCTAACAGGACCATTTTGTTGTCTAAGATTATGAATGTTGTTTCAGTTTTAGTCTTTCTGATTCTCTTCTGATGGACTGCTGCTCTGCTTCTATACATGTCTTTAGTTTGTTGCCTTTCATCTTTTAGTTATTCTCACTCTAAAAGTAAGAACCATGTGTACATAGTATAATTTTGGAAAATATATAAATGCAAAGAAGAAAGCAAAAACAAACCCCATGAGTCCCACTACTTATGCATGCTGTTATAATCTGAGCTTAATGGCAAGTTACCTCAGCAAGTAGAATAATAGAGGAAAGAAGATAGACTTTGGAGACAGACCTGGTTTTCTACCCCAGATTTGCCACTTACTAGCTGTGCAACATTGAGCTGGTATTATTTAGTCTGAGCTTTGCTTTCCTTATGTGCAAAATGAGAATAATACCTGCCAGGTAAGGTGTTGGTGAGGATTTTTAAAGTGTTTAGTAAGTGCTCAGCAAATGTTCGTAATATTTTCCTTCTTTAGATACTTCTGCTTTTTTTTTAGCATCTAAAATATTTGTATCATTTGAACCTTGGTTTTATTGTTTATTATTTTCAATATATTTATTTGAAACTTTTCGTAAATTTAATTCACATCTTTTTTTTTTAATTTCAGAATTTTCTTTCTTTGATCCTAATGATGCATCATGCCAGGAAATTCTTTTTGATCCCAAAACTTCAGTTTCAGAATTATTTGCCATTTTAAGACAATGGGTTCCTCAGGTCCAACAAAACATTGATGTTATTGGAAATGAGGTAAGGAATTCTTACAGTTTAAGTTTTGTATTGTTAGGATTGTTAATGGTATAGATTTTTTCCCCATCTGAAAGGAAGATGATAATGAAGGAGAAACCCTTTAAATGTTCTGATATTTATTTGTATTTCCAGGATTTTCATGGGGCAGTGAGTTAATACTATATATTCTTCTGATTATTTCTTCATGCTCTGGCCTTCTGACATTTATAGACTCTTGGTGGGTGCAGGGAGGGGCATTTTTCGTATTTCCTTCTTTGTAAAAATTAATTTTGTAAACTTTTATGCATTTCATGAAGGGATTTAATTACCATCATGTTCTATTTACACTTTTGGGTGTTTTGGTAAAGATACAGGCTTGAATGTAGTCTTTAAGAATATTAGATTTTTTGAGGGAGGGTTCCTTGACCAGTGTGTTGCTGTGTTGTAGGAAGAGTGCTTATACTTTTTTTTTAGATATTATTAACTGAACACTTTAGTGGTGGCATAAAAATTATAATTCAAGGATTTTTTTAACTTCTAATCCATCTTGTTTCATATGCCTTTCTACTCCGTTTTATTTCTGAGATAGTTTAAAATTTCTTTATTGAGTATTACTATCTTTTCTACGGGTATCATTACACCCGTAGAAATAAAATTTTGCTCATTTTTGAGAGGAACATATTTGGAGTGCCAGATTACCCTTGGAATAATCTTCAAGAATTTCCTTCAGCCTGCTGACAAGTTCAGTTTTCATTCTTGTTGTTGAGTGCAGATTAAAAATTTACCCTTTAGAGATGCCGATACTGTCTATACACTTTAGTGAGAAGTAATTCAGATTTGATAGACTAACTTGGTTCCTCAGCATTGGTTTGAAAGCAATAGGTACCTCAGTAGTTAGGTTGTAACCATATTTTCCTTGACTGCTTCAGATTCTTAAGAGAGGTTGCAATGTGAATGATAGAGATGGACTGACAGATATGACTCTTTTACATTATACCTGCAAATCTGGAGCTCATGGTATTGGTAAGTGTGTGGTAAATCTATCAATTGCTTATATCATCTGCATTTGTGCTTAGATAATCTATATTTATGCCCATATATTGTCCATGGGAAGGCACCCAGCTGCTGATGATAATATTGCCTGAAGAGCTGAGGATTCAGTTAGGTCCTTCCAAAAACCATATTCCCTTTTCTCAAGGAGGTCTTTATACCCTCCTGATACCTCCGAGCTTTTCTGGATCAGGCCTCATGCCTGATTGTGTATTAGATGAGAGTAACTGCTAACACCCTAAAATCTTTCTGAGGGTGTATAACAAGGTTTGACAGTCCAAGGCCAGTCTTTACATACTGATTCCTAATCTCAAGACCCCAGTCTGGAGACCTAAGGTCTGTTCCTACATATGTAACATATGTGCATATTTTCCAAAATTGTTACTCTCTTGTGCTTTGTCATTTTATAAACCTGCATCTCTTACCTAACTATATACTGTGATTGTCTCTTCTTGTTTCAATAGTCTGATGCAGTAGTGCTGAAACTTATGGTGGTGACAGACTCCCTTTTTCCCCTCACAACCCATCATGGACTGATACTTTCATGAAATAAAATAAAAATGAATTTGTAATACAAAATAAAATAAAACCATAAAATATAAGCCCAAATATTTTTCAAAAGGCATGAAACTGGCCAGGCATGATGATTTACACCTGTAATCTCAACACTTTGGGAGGCCACGGTAGGAGGATTGCTTGAGGCCAGGAGTTTGAGACCAGCCTGGGTGACATAGTGAGACCTTGTCTCTACAAAAAATTAAATAATTAGCCAACTGTGGTGGTGCCTGCCTAGAGTTTCAGCTACTTGCGAGGCTGAGGCAGGAGGATTGTGTAAGCCCAGTAGTTTAGGGTTGGCATGGGCTGTGATTGCATCACTACACTCCAATCTGGGTGACAGAGCAAGACCCTGTTTTTAAAAAAGAAGAAAGAATAAAAGGCATAAGACTACATTTTATTTAACATAACGAGAAGACATATTAAACGGGGAAAAGCTATAAAAAGTACACACAGATTGCAATTTGGGACTGCCGGTGGTCCACAGAACATGTTTGGAGTAGCACTGATCTGCTGTGTTGTTGTTGATGGCTTCATAGCATTCTATGTGTGTCTCTATTTAACCAATTTCTTATTACACTTTTTGGATTTTTTAGAATTATATTAATAACAGTGCAGAGATGAGCATCTTTACAGCCAAGTGTATCCCATTCATCGCATTCCTGTGTATAATTATTTTCTTAGTATAAATTCTTGCAAGTGAAATTTTCGAGGTGTGTTTATACAGTGCACTGTTTGCTTTGGCTTTTTAAATGAGGCAATTGATAGCCATCCATTGGAACTTAAAATTTGTACTAAAGGAAAGTGATTTGGAAAATCTTCTCTAGGTGATGTGGAAACAGCTGTAAAATTTGCAACTCAACTTATTGACCTGGGAGCAGACATTAGTTTGCGGAGTCGCTGGACAAACATGAATGCTTTGCATTATGCTGCTTATTTTGATGTCCCAGAACTTATAAGAGTGATTTTGAAAACATCGAAACCAAAAGGCAAGTATTATAAAATCACTTTTAGATATTATTAACTGAACACTTTAGTGGTGGCATAAAAATTATAATTCAAGGATTTTTTTTAACTTCTAATCCATCTTGTTTCATATGCCTTTCTACTCCGTTTTATTTCTGAGATAGTTTAAAATTTCTTTATTGAGTATTACTATCTTTTCTACAAAAGGATTAGTACAGAGATACAAAATGAAAGAGTGTTCTCTGGGTTTTCATATCTCTATAAGTTCTCCAGTATAACACGGATGTTTTATATAATTGATTCTACATGCTTTATGATTCTTTTGCCTTGCTTGGGTAGCCAGAAATAGAACAATAAGGTCTTCAGAGATTGGCATTGGAATAGTAAATACTATTTATTTTAGATGGCATTTGGTTCTGAAATTATATAATTCAACTTAAGGGATAATGTTTCCGTTTTTTCCCCCCTGTTTTGATGGTGATATCCTGAAACTGAAGATCTGAATGTCTAAGTCACAGTCCTGGTATTTTGATTCTTCTTTCTGGTTCTCTTTGGGGCCAATTTTCTTTTCTTTATTTTTTAGAAAAATACGAGAGCAAGCAAATAGTATTAACATTAAATTAAAGAAAGTGTACAATATTTTCCCCATTGTAGGAACATGCTTTAGAGATTCAGTAAATTTCCCAGAATGTTCATTTCTAACCTCCAATCTGCATAATTGTCCATTTTTTTCTTTAAAATTCTACCTTTTCACTTTGTGAATGATGTTAGGAAGAAAGCCTCTGTCGACACTTCTGTGTTTTTAATAATTCAAGAGAGTGTGTCTTGAGTATATCTGGGTCGTTTACAGTTGTAGGAAGGATATGTGGGTGTGGTGTCGTTTAGTTGAGGGTAGGATTTGCAGAACCAGAGGTATTATATTTAAACCCTTGTTATGGAAAATATTCAAGCTGGGATTCCCAAATCTGGAGGATTTCCTGTATTTAAATATAACATATGATGCTATATTAAAAGTTATTAAAATGTCCTTAGAGTTGCAAGATTGCTTTTCTCATTATGAAATTCAAATTCATTTGTTCAGTAGAGTATTATGAATCAATTTATAGGTAAGCATTTCTATGCTTAATTAGACTTTAGCTGCTTTGAAAATTCTGCTTTGTTTTACCTACCAGGTATTGGCTGTTTTGTTTCTGTAAAGGGCCAGCTAGCAAATATTTTAGACTTTTTGGACCACATGGTCTCTGATGAAACTACTCAGTTCCATAGTTGTAGCATGGAAGTAACCACAGAGGATATGTAAATGAGTGCATGTGCCTGTGTTCTAATAAAACTTTATAAAAACAGATGGGCTGGATTTGGCCTTTGGGTCATAGGTTGCTGACCCCTGACCTAAATTCTACTACTCTACCTCACTGTAGTTGTCATGGCAAATATGCCACAGACTTAATGGGAGATTGTGATAAGTTGTTACTTTTACAAATATGAATTATTGCCATTAATTGTTTTAAAATGTGTTTTAGTTTGAAAATCTAGGATAATATCACTCCCTCTTATAATGAATTTTATTGTACTAAGAAAATAATCAACTGTTTAACTAGATTGTAATATAAACATTTTGTTCTATTGTGAAATCATGCTTCTAGTGGGTTGATTTAAGTCTTATAAATGATAAAAGTCCCTCCTCCCAAAACCCTGTCTTCTTTTAAATTATAATAGCTAAGTTTAAAATTTTAGTTAATATACTTGTGATGTTTAATTGCAGATGTGGATGCCACTTGCAGTGATTTTAATTTTGGAACAGCTTTGCATATTGCAGCATACAACTTGTGTGCAGGTGCTGTGAAGTGCCTCTTGGAGCAGGGAGCAAATCCTGCATTTAGGGTAAGAGGTTAAATTAAAAGTGAAAAATATTAAAAGAATTAAGAAGTCTTATCCTACTTTCTGGTAAAGTGTTGGCTCTGAATGTTATTAATAGAAGAACTCTTACATGAGCAAGTAATTTATATCTTTGTTCCACATGTAAAGAGTGATGATGATCTTTATTGTAAATAAATTTAAGGCATGATGATAACTTTCCTTTTATATTGATAAGTCCCATTCAGGAAAGTAAAATCTTCCTTTAAGTGTCATAATCTTTAAGTATCTTTCATTTAGGGGTTTGATGTATTTATGAAAAGTTAGCTGTTAAGTACAAATACATATATTAAAGTTATATTTTTCTGTTAAGTCATATTCTAAATTTTTTTGGAAATAAAATTCGTTTCAGAAAGTTAAAATAAATACCCATTTAAGGATGAAGTAAGCCTTTGAAAATGAAACATTTAAAGGAAAAGTGTATTTTTTTAATAGTAAAATGTCACTAATTTACAGAGTTACACAGGATTGAATTTCATAGTCTTCAGATCCTTTTTTTTTTTTCTCCAGAAAGTGGCTCTCAGTTTTCACTTTCTTTATAGTAATAACAATAACTCGCTGTGGCAGGTATTCTTAATCGTGTTATACTTTCCCTTGAAGGGGTGAGTGTGAACCGTGGATAGAGTGCAGTATTTGAAAACACCTGTCTTCCCTTCCCTTTCCTATTTTTCCCATTTTCCCTACTTCTTTGCCAGTTTTCTTTCTGTTTAACCGCCTTGATTACCCCCCAACTTTTAATTTCTTCCCTTCCTCCCTCCCTCCCTTCTGACTCTATTGGTTATTGGGCACTGGGAGAATACTACAGTAGTGTAGATAAAGCCCTTGCCCTCAAAAAGAATGTATTGCAGAGGGGAGGTGGGACAAGGAAGCAATCAGTTTTACTGTAGTGTGCGAATTCAGTGCGACACGATGGGGCGGGGGTGGCAGAGGGCCGTGGGTCATCTTCCCAAGGCTTCAACAGGGGGTGACATCTAAATCAAGTGCTTACATAGGCAAGAATTAACCAGGTACTGGAGGGAGGTGAGGAAGGCATTTTAGGCAGAGAGAGTAGCATGCAAGAAACCTAGAGGTGATCATTCAGTCCAGCTGGAATGTGAAGGGGATGCGTTTGCTTTTGTTGGTACAGCTGTTGACAAAGCCCCATTAGTGGGGACGATGTTCTGAATTTGTTAGGATGCCATGAGATATCTTATTGAGCTAAATTACCAATTTAGGCCAGAAACAGATGAATAGGTTGCCATATTTTGAAAATACTTAAAAAACAGTGGTAAACATGTGGGTCAGCAGTAGCCCTCAGACCATAGTGTGATAGCCACCATCTTCATTTTTAATTTTTATTTTAAATATTAGATTCAGGGAGTATATGTACAGGTTTGTGAAATAGGTTATATTGCCTGGTGCTGAGGTTTGGGCTTCTGTTGATGCCGTTACCCAAACAGTGAACATAGTAGCCAATAGGTAGTTTTTCAACCCTTGCCCTAGCCCTTCCCCACCTCCTTCCCTCCCACACTCCCTCCCGTCTTTAGGGGTCCCAGTGTCTGTTGTTCCTATCTTTATGTCTGTGTGTATCCAGTGTTCAGCTCCCACTAATAAGTGAGAACACGCATTATTTGATTTTCTGTTTCCGCATTAATTTTCTTAGGATAATGGCCTCCAGTTGCATCCTTGTTGTTGCAAAGGGCATGGTTTCATTTTTTAAATGACTATGTAGTATGCTGTATTTGTACCACATTTTCTTTATCCAGTCCACTATTGATGAGCACCGAGGTTGATTCCATGTCTTTGCTGTTATGAATCATGCTGTGAAAAACTTATGAGTGCAGTGTCTTTTTGCTGAAATAATTTATTTTCCTTTGGGTGTGTACCCAGTAGTGGGATCTAGGTCAAATGGTAATTCTGTTTTTAGTTTTTTGAGAAATCTCCAGTTTGCTTTCCACAGGGGCTGAACCAATTTACACTTCCACTAACAGTGTATAAATGTTCCTTTTCTCCATAACCTCACCAACATGTTATTTTGTGACTTTTTAATAATGGCCATTCTGACTGGTATGAGATAGTCTCTCATTGTGGTGTTGATTAGCATTTCTCTGATGATTAGTGATGTTGAGCATTTTTTATATTTGTTGGTTGCTTGTATGTCTTCTTTTGAGAAGTGTCTGTTCATGTTCTTTGCCACTTTTTAATGGGATTTTTTCTTCTTTTTGATTTGTTTACATTCCTTATAGATTCTGGATATTAATCTTTTGTTGGATGCATAGTTTGTATTTTTACCTGTTCTGTAGGTTGTCTGTTTACTCTATTGATAGTTTCTTTTGCTGTGCAGAAGCTCTAGTTTAATGAGGTCCTGTTTGACAATTTTTATTTTTGTTGCCTTTGCTTTTGAGGACTTAGTCGCAAATTCTTTGCCTAAGCCAATGCCTGGAAGAGTATTTCCTAGATTTTTGTCTAGGATTTTTGTAGTTTGATTTCTTATATTTAAGTTTTTAAAATCCATCTTGAGTTAATTTTTGTATATAGTGAGTAGTGGGGGCCCAGTTTCATGCATATGGTTAGCTAGTTTTCCCAGCACGATTTATGAGTAGATTGTCCTTTCCCTCGTGTTTATTTTTGTTACCTTTGTCAAAGAGCAGTTGGTTGGTTGTAAGTGTATGGCTTTATTTCAGGGGTCTCTAGTCTATTTCATTGGTCTATATGTCTATTTTTTGTAGCAATATCATGCTGTTTTGATTACTGTAGTCTTGTATAATTTTAAGTCAGGTAATGTGATACCTCTGGCTTTTGTTCTTTCTGCTTAGGATTGCTTTGGCTATTTGGGCTCCTTTTTTGGCTCCGTATGAATTTTTTAGAACAGTTTTTTCTAATCCTGTGAAAACCGATGTTGGAAATTTGATAGGAAGAGTGTTGAATCTGTCAATTGCTCTGGGCAATGTGGACGTTTTAGTGATACTGATTCTTCCAGTCCGTGAGCATGTAGTGTTTTTCCGTTTGTTTGTGTTGTCTGTGATTTCTCTCAGCAACGTTTTATAGTTATTGTAGAGCTCTTCCATCCCCTTAGTTGGATGTATTCCTTGGTATTTTTATTATTATTTTGTGGCTATTGTAAATGGAATTGTGTTCTTGATTTTGTTCTCAGCCTGTTATTGGTGTATAGAAATGCTACTGATTTTCGTATGTTGATTTTGTGTCCTGACACTTTACTGAAGTTGTTTATCAGGTCTAGGAGTTTTTTTTGGCAGAACCTTTAGAATTTTCTACATATAGAACCATATTGTTGATGAAGGGAGATAACTTGACTTCCTCTTTTCCTATTTGAATGCCTTTTATTTCTTTCTCTTGCCTGATTACTCTGGTTAGGACTTCCAGTACTGTGTTGAATAGGCGTAGTGAGAGTGGACATTCTTGTCTTGTTCTCAGGAGGAATATTTCCAACTTGCCCATTCAGTATGATGTTGGCTGTGGGTTTGTCATAGATGGCTCTTATTATTTCGAGGTATGTTCCTTCGATGCCTAATTTGTTGAAGGTTTTTTGTCTTGAAGTGGTGTTGGAATTTATCGATTGCTTTTTCTGTGTCCGTTGAGATGATCATACAGTTTTTAATTTTGTTATGTGGTGAATCACATTTATTGACTTGCATATGTTGAACCTCCTTGCATGAATTGATCATGGTGAATTCTCTTTTTGGTATGCTGCTGAATTTGGTTTGCTAGTAACTTGAGGATTTCTGTGTCTGTGTTTACCAGGGATGTTGGTCTGTAGTTTTATTTTTTGTTGTGTCTTTGCCAGATTTTGGTATCAAGATGTTACTGCTTTCATAGAATGAATTTGGGAGAAATCCCTCTTCCTTGGTTTTTTCATAGCGTTTTGGTAGGATTGTTAACCAGCTTCTCCTCATACGTTTGGTAGAATTTGGCTGTGAATCCATTTGGGCTTTTTCTGGATGGTAGGTTTTTTATTACTGATTCAATTTTGTAACTCATTATTGGTATGTTCAGGGTTTCACTTTCTTCCTGGTTCTTGGAACGTTGTGTGTTTCTAGGAATTTAGATTCCTAGATTTTCTAGATTTCCTTTAGATTTTCTAGTTTGTATGAATAGAGGTATTCACGTTAGTCGCTGAGGATCTTTTGCATTTCTGTGGGATTGTTGTAATGTCATATTTATAATTGCCAGTTGTGCTTATTTGGATCTTCTCTTTCTTTTTCTTTGTTAACCTAGCTAGCAGTCTATCAATCTTCATTGTTTCAAAGAACCGCCTTTTCATTTTGCTGATTCTTTGAATGCCTTTTTTGGTTTCAGTTTCATTTAGTTGTACTGCAATTTTAGTTATTTCTTTGACTAGCTTTGGGTTTAGTTTGTTCTTATTTTTCTAGTTCCCTTAGGTGCAATGTTAGGTTGTTAATTTGAGATCTCCCTGTCTTCTTGATTCAGACATTTTGTACTTTCCTCTTAACACTGGTTTTGCTACATCCCAGAGGTTTTGGTATATTGTGTCTCTATTTTCATTTGTTTCAAATAATTTTTTGAATTCTGCCTTAATTTCATTGTTTATTATTTATTATTTAATAATTTATTAATATTAATTATTAATATAACTATTAAATATTTTAATATATAATTTATTATATTATTATTTATTATTCTTTGTACTAATATTCATATTATTATTCATTCCAAAAGTCATTCTGGAGCAAGTTTTCTAGTTTGCATGTATTTGTGTGGTTTTGAGAGCTCTTCTTGGTATTGATTTCTATTTTTATTCCACTGTGGTTCAAGAGATTCTTGGTGTGATTTTGATTTTTTGAATTTGTTGAGACTTGCTTTATGACCGTGGTCAATCTTTGAGTATGTTCCATGTGCCAATGAGAATAGCATTTATATTCTGTGATTGTTGGGTGGAGTATTCTTTAGATGCCCATTAAGTCTAATTGGTCAAGTGCTGTATTTAAGTCCAAAATTTCTTTGTTAGTTTTCTGCCTTGATGATCTAATGCCTTCAGTGAAGTGTTGAAGTCACCCACTGTTATTGTGTGACTATGTTCATCTTTTTGTAAGTCTAGTTATAATGTTTTATAAATTTGGGTGCTCCAATGTTGGGTGTATGTATATTTAGGATAGTTAAGTCTTCTTGTTGAATTGAACCCTTTATCATTATGTAATGCCCTACTTTGTCCCTCTTGACTGTTGTTGGCTTAAAGTATGTTTAACTGATGTAAGAATAGTGATCCTCTGCTCCTTTTTATTTCCATTTGCATGGTAGATCTTTCTCCAGCCTTTTACTTTGAGCCTATGGGTGTCATTACATGTGCAATAGGTATCTTGAAGACAGCAGAAGGACGGGTCTTTTTTTTTTTTTTAACCCAATTTGCCACTGTATGTCTTTTGAGTGCTGTGTTTAGGCTGTTTATGCTCAGGGTTAATATTGATATGTGAAGCTGGGCTCCTATTGTCGTGTTGTTAGCTAGTTGCTTTGTAGTCTTGATTGTGTAGTTGCTTTTATGGAGTCTATAGACTATGTGCTTATGTATACTTTTGTGACAGCAAGTATTATTTTTTTGTTTCCATGTTTAGAACTCTGTTAGTCATCCTTTATTAACTTTCCTCAGGGTTAATATTGATATGTGAAGTTTTGTTCCTGTTGTCGTGATTTTAGCTAGTTGCTTCCTTGTCTCATCTGTATAGTTGCTTTATGGAGAACATAGTCTATGTGCTTATGTATGCTTTTGTGGTAGCAAGTTTTGTTCTTTTGTTTCCATGTGTAGAACTCCCTTAATCATCTTTTATAGGGCCAGTCTGGTAGTATGACACCACTTTAGAAGAAAGTGGAATTCCACAATCGATCATGAATAAGCCTTCTTGTGTTAGGAAGATATCATCATTGTTACTGCACTATTCTTACTATTATTTAGTTTTTTTTTTTTTTTTTTACAGGAGTTTTGATTGTTGAATTGTATGGTAATTTACAACAGAAGTGTGTGACAGGCTCCAAAAAGTGGGGATATAACAAAAGTCCAAAGTAAAATATTCACTGTAAGCATAGCTTACAACTTATCAGCCTGGCTGTATTTTTAAAATTGTTATGTTTCCCTATTTTTCTCTCTCTGTTTTTTAGAGTATACATTAGTGTAACACATATCTTTATTGTATTTTGTATGTTTTCTTGAAATCTGGGATTAAAAGAGTCCATTACCATCCCAGAAATCTAGTAACATACCTTCTTGCCATGTTTTTACTCAGGACCAACCTGACTTGAATTTTACAACAAAAAAATGTGAAGCAATTGCAAACTAAGTGTGTTCTAAAAGCCTCATTCATTTTTCCACGTGGTTCATTTGAAGATTATCATCAGTGAAGAAAGGGAGAAAAGTTTCTCAGTTAACAAAAGTATCTTTATTCTTTATATTAAGAGAAAATTACAATCTAGATTATTTCTCATGAAGTCTAAGGTTTTTGGTTAGGGAATGTAAGGTGACAGATAATTCATATGATAGGGCTTTGATGATACATATACCATGCAAATGACTGTGGGGTTGTCTCTGGTTATCTGGTCACAGGATAAATCCTAGGATACCAGACTTTCCGTCATGGTGAAAACAGAGCTTTTTTCTTGATTATAGCCCAGGTTTTAGAAGTATCAAAACCATAGTTTCTACTTTTGAAATCTGAGTTACCCCATGAATGGGCAGGGGGCTGAGGTCACAGAGCCAAGAGGGCAGCTCTGGAACCGTGGATTTGGGTCCGGGAAGCCAGTCAGTCTTGTGACTTTTGTTTCCAAGCTTGCTTTCTCAAATGCCTATGAGGGCAGGATGCTGTCTGCTTAGGACCTGAGCACTGCTCCCCACCATGGATGCAGTGCTTTTCCCTGCCAGAGAACCTGCATGGCTCCTCCCTGGTCTGCTTTGGATCTCTGTGGAGATGCATCTCATCAGTGAGGTCTCCCTGACCACTTAATCTAAAGAGTTTCCGCTACAACCATCTCTGTCTCCACATTTCCTACTTCCCTTCCCTGCTTTTTTTTTTTTTTTTTTTTTCCTCCAGGCCACTTATTACTGTTTATTTTATTTTTATTTATTTATTTATTTATTTTTTTTTGAGACGGAGTCTCGCTCTGTCACCCAGGCTGGAGTGCAGTGGCCGGATCTCAGCTCACTGCAAGCTGCGCCTCCCGGGTTCACGCCATTCTCCTGCCTCAGCCTCCCGAGTAGCTGGGACTACAGGCGCCTGCCACCTCGCCCGGCTAAGTTTTTGTATTTTTAGTAGAGACGGGGTTTCACTGTGTTAGCCAGGATGGTCTCGATCTCCTGACCTCGTGATCCGTCCGTCTCGGCCTCCCAAAGTGCTGGGATTACAGGCTTGAGCCACCGCGCCCGGCCCACTTATTACTGTTTATTATGCCACATATAATTTACTTGTTTAATGTTGTGTGGTCTGTCTCTCCCACCAGAATGTAATGTTCCTTGAGGGCAGGGCTTGTGGTTTTTTCACCGTAGGATCTTTAGCACCTAGAATGGTGCCTGCATATTGTAGGTGTTCAGGAAATGTTTTTGAATAAACAAATGATGAATGAATTTAACATAAAATTCCTCCAACAGAAATTTTATATGACTTTCTAGTGCTCTAAGTAAATAAGAGTTGAACATTTTTCTCTTGTCTTTATTTGTAGAATGACAAAGGACAGATCCCTGCTGATGTTGTTCCAGACCCAGTAGATATGCCGTTAGAGATGGCTGACGCCGCAGCCACTGCTAAGGAAATCAAGCAGATGCTCCTAGATGCGGTGCCTCTGTCATGTAACATCTCAAAGGCTATGCTCCCAAATTATGATCATGTCACTGGCAAGGCAATGCTTACGTCACTTGGCCTGAAGTTGGGGGATCGTGTCGTTATTGCAGGACAGAAGGTACAGTAAGTAGCTGCAATCTCTGAAGCCAAGGTTGTTATGTCCATGACCTATGTTTAGGGGCACAGAGAGTAAGGTCAGAGTTTCGAGTTTTTTAAAAAAGGTTCAACCTGTAGGTAGAAAGATGCTTAATGGAAAATGTAAAACTTGGATACGAATTTACTGTTAAGTTATGCTTTAAGAATATGAACTACTTGAACTTAATAATGAAGACATCTTTATTTGAATAAAAAGTGGAGTGGAGTAGAACTTCTTGAGTGAATTTAGAGGCATGAGCTGAGGGATGATCTAGGGTGGAGGATTTTCTTTGCAGTCCCCTCTTCCCCCAGTGGTGCTTCTCCGACTGCTGCTACTCCATAGAAATGGAGCACAGGAGACCCTTGCTGTTCGTGGGTGTTTGTCTTTGGGTTGCCACAAATAGGGCAGTCTGAGATACTGTGTAGCCTGGTGATAAGGATTTATGTGGAAAAGAGGACTCCTCCTACTCCCGTCATCCAGACACCTTTTTTCCTCCCAAGCTTTTGTTTCCATATTGCATTCGTTTATTACCAGTTGCTTTTAAAAAATATCTCATATGGGAGGTTTTCTTGTTTTTTCTTTTTTAAATTAATTATTTTATTATATTTTAAGTTCTGGAATACATGTGCAGAACATGCAAGTTTGCTATGTAGGCATACATGTGCCATGGTGGTTTGCTGCACCCATCAGCTTGTCGTCTGTATTAGGTATTTCTCCTAATGCTATCCCTCCCCAGCCCCCCACCCTCAGTTTTTTCTTAATATTGAGGTTAATAGGGAGCTTGGTATGGAGAATGGAATAGGGAATTCCTGCTTGGATATTGAATTTCCCAACATAGTTGCATCCCAATTTTTTTTTTTTTTTTGAGAAGAGTCTTACTTTGCTGCCCAGGCTGGAGTGCAGTGGCACAGTCATAGGTCACTGTAGCCCTGAACTCCTGGGCTCAAGCGACCCTCCTGCCTCAGCCCCTGGAGTAGCTGGAACTACAGGCGTGTGCTACTATCCAGCCTATTAGGATTCTTATGTCTTCTTGGAAATTGACTCCCTTATTATTATTTAATGTTCCTTTTTATCCTTGGTAATGTTCCTTGTTCTGAAGTGAGAGCAAGGAACGTTACCAAGGATAAAAAGGTAATGTTGAGAGAGTGAATTTTTAAAAACTTCCATGGTGAAGTAAAGTTGCAAGAGTAGGACCGTTGGAATTACTAATAATTCCCAAAAGTTATTCTGATTTATCTTTTCTTTAGGTTGGTACATTAAGATTTTGTGGAACAACTGAATTTGCAAGTGGGCAGTGGGCCGGCATTGAACTGGATGAGCCAGAAGGAAAAAATAATGGAAGTGTTGGGAAAGTCCAGTACTTTAAATGTGCCCCCAAGTATGGTAAGGTTGATATTATTTAACTCAGTAAGCATTAATTAAAAATAATCAAGTTCTACGCTTTTACAGTTGTTAAATAAAACTTTTCTCCTGATTACTTATGTGATAAATGAGGGGCATGTGGAGGTAGGGAGGACTTTTTAAAGGTAGGAGATAGTTATGTTTATTTACCCTGATGGGAGGTGACGTGAGAGCGAGAAATGGTAGTTGCAGGAGAGAAAGGGGACACTTATAGAAGGAAAGGCCTGAAAAACTTAAAAGGGAAATGGAATTCAGTATAAGAATTAGCCTTACTTTAGATCAGGTGCAGCTTTCCACTATTTTGTTTTATTTTATTTTATTTATTTTTTGAGATGGAGTCTGGCTCTGTCGCCCAGGCTGGAGTACAGTGGCGCAATCTCGTCTCACGGCAACCTCTGCCTCCCAGGTTCAAGTGATTCTTCTGCCTCAGCCTCCTGAGTAGCTGGGATTACAGGCACTTGCCACCATGCCTGGATAATTGTTGTATTTTCAGTAGACACAGGGTTTCCCCACATTGGCCAGGCTGGTCTCGACCTCCTGACCTCAAGTGATCTGCCCACCTTGGCCTACCAAAGTGCTGGGATTACAGGCATGAGCCACCGTGCCTGGCCAACCATGAGTTTCAGAGGCCATGATGGAAAGGTTTAGGAGGGTGTCTGGTAGTGACTGGTGAAGAGCGCGTCTGATGGGATTGCCTCAGTGATGTTTTTGGGAAAGTGTCTTTCTTGGGACTGGTCTCTTGGGTGGCTTTTAGTGGAGGGACAGTGATGAGAGAGGTGTTTTCATTAGTAGGCTGTGAGCTGTTGGACTGCCCTTGATTCTTGCTGCCAGCAGTATAGTGATTGGGAGAAGGCCTCTGACCAGGGGCACGCCCAGCTGTGCAGACCTCCCTTAAGTCCTGCTCCTGGTGGTGTCGTGGCCAAGGGAGGGACTTGGTTATCAAGGAAGTACAGAGCTCTGGAGGTCATGAAGAACCTGGAAAACTGGAAAAATCAAGCAAGGCCAACTTTACGACCACACTCCTGAGGTTTCTTTGAAACTCTGCGAGGTTTCTTTCTCTTTCTGACAAATGTTTCAGTAAATTCTGACAAATGTTTAAGTAAATTCTTTCTGACATGTTTAGGTAAATTTATTCTTCCTCTCTCTCATACACACCTATCCTGCCTATTGATTTCAATTTGATTTTGTAGTTACTTTCTATGTTGTGAATATTTTTCCTTGAAATGAAATACTCTTCTAGAACGTTATTTCCACGATTGTGTAGTGTTCATCTTGTGGCCTGATGGTGAGGTGGTGTGGTATGATGATGATGAAGGGTATGGACTTTGGAGTCTGACTGCTTGTGTGTGAATCGATTTCTTTACTTACCAGCTATGTGACTCTGTTTCTCTTCTTGTGCCTCAGTTTTTCTTCTGTGAAATAGGGATGACACTATCATAAGGACTAGTGCAAGAATTAAATGTGTTGGTGAAAGTATAAAGCACCTAGAACAGTGCTTGATTCCCTGTAAGCACTCAGCAGATGAGAGCTGCTGGCTATCACGCATTTATCAAAATTACTAGTTTCCTTTCATCACACACTTAGGATGGAATCTCATTTTTTTGGTCTATTAAAACTTTTTGTTTGTTTATAAAAATGCTTATTGTATAAGATTTGAAAATGAGGAAAATAAAAATTCTGCATTTTTATTTGATATCCTAATATAATTTCCCTAAATCTTTACATATTGTTTGAAAATGTGATTTTGAATAGCTCCATTTCCTTTAATTTTTCCAGTTTGATTCATGAAAATTTCTGTATTTTAATTTGTATTTATCTTATTGTGGTGAAATAGAGCACTTATTAAAGTGTTTTGTTGTAGTATAGGTATTTTTTATGTTCCTTGGCAATTGCCTGTTCATATTATTTTCCCAGTAAAAATTGGGATATTAGTGTGTCTTTTTAAAAAAAGGATGAGTTTTAAAATACATACTTATGATATTAAGCTTTATTTATTATGGATATTTTGTCCAGCTTGTCATTTGCCTTTGACCCTCAATTGCAATGTTTTTTGGACATGTAGTTTCATGGCTTAAAGTCTTTTCTTTTATAAATTCTTATATTGCTTTTATGCTTTGATAATTCTTCCTAATCTAAGGATTAGTTATACATTTTATGTTTCTTTAAATGTTTATATTTTTCATTTTATTTTTAGTTGACACATAATAATTGTACCTATTTATGGGGTACAGAGTGATATTTCTGTGTAATGTAAGGTATAATGATTAAATCAGGGTAATTAGGATATCCATCACCCCAAACATTTATCATTTGTGTTGAGAACATTCAAAATCCTCTCTTTTAGCTTTTTGAACATATACAATAAATTGTTGTTAACCGTCTTCACCCTGCAGTGCTGTAGAACACTAGAACTTATTCCTCCTGTTTAGCTGTAATGTAAATGTTTTAATTTTTATACTTAATTATGTAATCTATTTGGAATTTATTTGGTTAGTAGTCTGAGGTTAAGAATTTAATTTTAATTTTCCTCCAGTAGATTACTTTGCCACCTGTCAAGCAGACTAAGGGCAGGATCAAAAGCCTTTAGCAACACATGGGGCAGAGGTAAATCAGAATTATGGGAATAATTTAGATTGCCAGCAGAACACATTGGGACTCCCAAACTCTCATTGTCCCGAGGGGAGGTGTGCTTGATTAGCACAAAGCTGGATACTCCCAGGACCTGCCTCCATCCTCTTATATGTACTTAAGGGCAAGTTGTGGGGCAGGGGTCATGTGTTAGATTGTGTGAAAATGGGTGTAACCCTTGACAGTCTTGGGAGCCCCAGATCATGGCTAAGCTACTTAGGTGGAGGTGAGGGGAGTTGGGGAATCCCCTGGCTAATCAGAAGCCAAGGAATTTCTCAACAACGGTTTTCTCTCTTGCTAAATCTATCATCTTTTCCCTTTGGCTTGTTGTGCTGCTTTTATTATAGATCAAGTTCTTATCAATGCTATGGTATATTTCAGGATTGTTTTGTTCTATTGATCTGTTAATTCTCATACGTATTAGATTTTTTAACTGTAGAAAATGATAAGTTTTAATAGTTGGGTGGTATTACTGTTTTTATGTCTTTTATTAATTACCAAAGTGAATATATATACTTGGTTTACTAAAGTCAGATTGTATGGCAGGGCTTATTACAAAACTCTCTCTTAGCTTGTTTTTCTCTGCCCTCGAATCCTGCTCCTTAGAAGCAAGAACTTTTTCAACGCTTTTAGCTGTATCATCTGATATTAATATCTGTATTTGTAAATCATATGTTTACATGAATCTTTCTTGATTTTTCCAGTTTGAGACATCTAGTGAGTTTGTATTCTGAAGAGAAAGATTTAGTGCGCTACATGAGACGATAGAGTATTACCTTAAATATACGGAGAGAATGTGAAACCCATTGTAACAGTTTCTTGGTTGACTGGTTTTTGATATGGGATGTCCTTCAGTAGCTTTCTGACAAAGGACTCATGAGAAGTAAATGTGTTGAGTCCTTCTATTCTAAACACGTTGATTTCTCGCCTCATACTTCATGCGATAATTTGGGATAAGGAATGTTAGGTTGGATTTCATATTCTCTGAGTATGTTTAAGGAGATACTCTAGTGTCTCAGGTACAGTTTGACAGACTTTTTCTGTAAGGGGCCACATAGTAAATGTTTTAGGCCTTGTGGGCTCTGCACTTTCTGGTGCACTTGCTACTCAGCTCTGCTGTCATAGTAAACAGGCAGCCATAGGCAGTGTGTAAGCAAATGGATATGGCTACATTTCAGTAAAACTAGACCAATAAACAGGCAGTAGCCAGGATATGGCTGTTGGGCCATAGTTTACCAACTACCATCCTGAGCTTCCAGTGTTGCCGTTCAGAAGTTTCGAAGTATTGTTGTACAGATTATTTAGTATAAAATGAAAAAACAAAAAGTAGGTAGAGGTTTTTCCATCTTCTATTTTTGACCCTTTCTTCCTTCTAGGAAGCTTTTAGTATTTTTTCTTCTTTTCTTTTTTTTTTCCTTCAGAGTTCATACCATTTTTATTCCTTACCGATATTTTAGTGGGGGTTGGAGAAGAAGAATTGGAGTTAAACATGGCCCACTGAACACAGCTTTATCTGGAAATTTGTTATTTTTGTCTTTCCAAATAATTCTTCATCATGTGTTTGTTTTTAGTTAAGCCTTACAGTTACATGTCGAGATTTGAGAAAAATCCTATCAATAATTCAGTTAGCCTGAGTAACTGAGTAATAGAGGTTGCCCGTATACTATGCATCCAGTCATTGCTTTACATTTAGTTTTGGTTCTCTGAAATGCTTTGGTTAATAAAAAAAAAAAAGAAAAATGCAAACTATATAGATGAGGTTTTATATACTGTAGAAATCTTTCTAAGCCGTAGAATTAAATGTTTAATTTAATACACAGATATACTTTAGCTTACAGAAATTTCCTGAGGAGATTTTTTTTTTGTTAGAAAATATATTATTTATAGTGAAGTAGAGGTGTCACTATTCATGATAGAGGTTATATCAGCCAAGGTTGCCTTCATATTGATAAAAATACCTTATTCACTTGTAATCATAAACATTATTCCAGTAAAAGAGGTACATTTTCTCTCCTTTTTGTCTTTTTGCCTGTGTGATCACCATAATAAGTTAAAATGAAATAGCTCTTACATAATGAAAGGAGAAAAGAAAAAAGAGAAAGCCAACATACCACAGCCTAGACAATTCCACCCAGCACTGCTGCCTCCAGCAGTCTCTCCTCTCCCCACTCCAATTAATTTAGCCCTCTACCCCATCCCACTTTGTTAGCGGGGAGGTTCACCAAATGATGGGACTTGCTCAGAAGAGAAACATGTTATGGTCAGTGGAAGTTGAAGAGAAAGTACAAAAAGATGGAGAGGGCTGCCGTTCTCTTTTAATAATTGTGAGAGGATTTACTAATCCTGAAAAGTGTCCTTCAGTGACTGATCCCCGATCTAGACTTTGGCCCTTCAACTTGCTGCTGTCCAAAAAAATCACACATTTTCCCTGAGATGAAGAAAAACATAATTTATTGAACATGGTTATGACATTAATGACACAAACAAATTAGAAAAATACTCCATAGCCTGACTTCTCTTATAAATGTTTATTTTAGGTTTCTTCCAATCCTGCCTGCTGCCTGTATTCCCACATACAATTTTTCACAAATGGTACAGTGTAATCAAATATATAACTTAATTTTATTTCCTTTTTTTTTTTTTTTTTTTGAGACAGTCTCTCTGTCTGTCGCCCAGGCTGGAGTGCAGTGGCCTCCCAGGTTCAAGCGATTCTCCTGCCTCAGCCTCCCGAGTGGAATTACAGGCATGCACCACTGTGCCTGGTTAATTTTTGTATTTTTAGTAGAGATGGGGTTTTGCCATGTTGGTCAGGCTGATCTTAAACTCCTGGTCTTGGGTGATCCGCCTGCCTTGGCCTCCTAAAGGGCTGGGATTACAGGTGTGAGCCACCGAGCCTGGCCTGATTTACTTTTCATATTTTTATATATTTCTACATAATCTTTATTGTCTTATAATGTTATAATGATATAGTGGTTTATGGATATAGTTAATTCATCATATTGGCAGACAATTATGTTTTCTCCTACTTATGAATAATATTACAGTGATGACATACTCAGATATAAAACCTTTTCCTCCTATTTAGAGTATTTTCTCATGATTCATTTCCAGAAGTGTGATTGGGTCATTGTAGTAAACTAGAAATTGTGGCAGCTCTTGAAATGTATTTTTTTCTTTTAGTATACAGATGAAACCTCGTAACCTTTGTCAGTACTGTTAAATATAATTATTTCTTTAAAATTCTATAAAGTAGACTAGGTCAAGATTTTTGTTTTCTAAAAAGATCGTACAAATTTACATTTTCAGTGTATAAAATAATTTCTGTCATCAAACCTGTCCAACACTGGTTGTAATCATCATCATCATCATCGTCATCATTATCACCAAGCTTGAGAGAGAAAGAGAGAGGGTGTGTGTATGTGTGTGTGTGTTAGGGAAGGCAAATAATTTAGAGAAAGAATAGAAAGTCATGGAAAATCTCATAGATAGGAGACAGAAGAGAGAACATTGTGAATAAGTTAAAAAAAGATAGGAAAATCAGGATAAAGTAGTATGGACTCTGAGGTGGGAGAGAATTTTAAGATTAGCAGAAAAGTAGTGGAGTTGGTACTTTTTAGTTATTAACAAAGCACTCACTTCTTATAGAGTCTCCAGCATTTCTACCTTGCTTTAAAACAAGTTGTTTTTAATATATTCCGTTTTAGTCATAATGTATATTTGCTAGATGGTAAACACTCAATGAAAGAGTGTAATACACATATTATGGCTTTATTTTCACTTTTTAAATATCTTAGCCAGATTATCTTGGTATTTATAGTTTATATTCACTATCTTTAATGTCAGTGCATTCTTCTTATACTGGTTATTTTATTGTGTGGATAAACTCCTTTTTGATGGAATTTTGTACTCCCAACTGCTACAGATAGGCAACCCCTGCCCCTGCCGCTCCCCTCCCCAGTGCACACTGTATTGTTTCCGATTGTCAGGACCTGAGGGCCAGGCCTTTTAGGAAGATTATATTTTATAGTCAGAAAGCTTTATTTTATGCCTGCTATGTGTAACACACTGTAATTAGGTACGGGGGGAATGCAGAGTTAAGTAACATTTAAATTTTGTCTTTAAAGGTGTTAGTCTGGAAGAGAGATAAGACATGGGCATAAAAAGCTATAATGTGGGATAAATATAACTTCCAAAGGAGATATAAGTTGGCATGGAAGAATAGGTTTTTATGCTCTATAGCTCACTATTATTTGCCAATTGCTTAGAAATAATAGAAAACTATTAATATTACCTTTACTCGTTTCTCTTTCTCCTGAATTTCACTTAACAACTGAAATGTGGTTCTTACATTATTGATGTGTGGTTAGTCTCGAAAACTAGACTGTAAGCTCTTTGAGGGTAAGTACTGTGTCTTACATTTTTTTTCCCCTCTCATCATAGGACATACGGTGGGCATTAAAGGTTTATATTAAAGATTTATATTACTAATTAGATGTACTTGTTCCTTTATTTGAAATGTTTTAACTGTTTAACACTAAAATTCTGCATTCTCCCTTAGGTATTTTTGCACCTCTTTCAAAGATAAGTAAAGCAAAAGATCGAAGGAAGAATATAGCACACACTCCTTCTACAAAAGCTGCCGTGCCTCTCATCAGGTCCCAGAAAATTGACATAGCTCATGTAACATCCAAAGTAAATACTGGTAGGTCAAACCACAAAGTTATTTGGTATTTTAGTTCTGCTTCAGTATTTTAATTTTATTTGTAGAATTCCTACTATTTAGATTGCTTCACTTTTTTTTGTTAGCCAACTATGAAACCTGAATTTAATAAAACCTGCATCTTACGTGTTTTTAAACCTCAATTTTAATGACTTCAGTCCCTAACAAATGTATTTCAGATTTGTTCCTTCCTTTTTTCCCCTTACCGTCTCCATACTTTTATCACACATAATCTATCCTCAAAGCTAGATTTCATACTTTCATCAAACTTTTATGGAACAAAACTAGTTTTAGGCTCCTCGCCTATTGAAGGATGTTTAGTGACTTCTCTTTTACCAGAAAAAAGTTCTGACTCCTGAAACTAGCAGTTGCGGCTCTCTTTCTTTATTGATAGAGTCTCGCACGGCTTCCGTAGGTGAACTAGTTTATCGTATCTCTTCCTGTCTTTTACGTACGTTTTCTCACTCCTCCCTTCATACTTTGTCTCATGCTATTTATCTGGGTGCCGTAATTTGACGTCTGCCTTTTGAGGTCCTCACCATTTTTTCGACTTCTTATTCCTATCCTGTTTCTCATTCCTATCCTGTTTATCCATGAATGCTTTCTTGATAACTCCAGTTCACTTTAATCTCCTCATTCCCTAACTTTGTATGTACTTTTTATCCATACTGCCCAATTGTTATTTGTTATCTTGGGTTTTGTCCTCTGATTGCTTTATTTGTGCAAGTGTCCTATTCTCTCAGCAAAATTTCAAACTTGAACTGAACCATGAGAGCAAATTGTAGTGTTGTTTTCACTGTAGTAATGCACAAAATAGGTGCTCAATAAATACTTGCTAATTTGTAAATACTTGAGGTGGAAAGCTTTCTACCAGGATGAAAGGAATTTGTCCAAGAATTCGACTGGCCTTTATATTCTGTTCCGCTGGGCTATTTGAATATCCCTGTGTCAATACTGCACTCCATTATAAGTAGTTTTTAAAAATAAGTCCTGATGTCCAGTAGTGGAGAGCCTCTTATCTCGTTCTTGATCATTGTTTTGCCTGTTTTGGGCTTTTATAAATCACACTTCCATATATAGTTTACAATGAACTGTTAAGTTTCCTTTTAAAAATTCTGTTGAGGTTTTAACTGATGTTTTAGTTAAAGCTTAAATCAGTGTGGAAAGAACTAACATCTTTACAATAGTCAGTTTTTAAATTATGAGTTTAGAATATCTTTCCATTTAATTAGGCCCTTTGAAAATATCCCAACAAAATTGTGTAATTTTTTCTACAGATATTTTGTATCTGCCTTGTTAGGTCTATTGGTAGGTACTCCATACTTTTTGATGCTATTATAAGTAGCATCCTTTTAACCCAAAGCCCAGAAGTATACAGTAAATATAGACAGAAAGCTCCAAGAGAAGCCCCCTCTATTTCTGGTCTGAGGAGCAGAAAAGAGGTCTCCTATTAGATAGAATGTGGATGAAATTGCCTGTTGTTTTTCTTGTTTGCCTTTTCTTTCCCTTGTTTCTCTCCCATCCAGTCCCCAGGCAATCCTCCATGGTGTGGATGGGCAGCTGTGGATGCGCAGGCACCTGAAACCCCAAGGAAGGGAAATCCATGTCTCTGACCAGAGAAACTTTGGTCCAAGGACATAGATGGAATCCCCACTGGTTTTTCTTCTGTTTTCTCACTGCTTGGCCCCAGAGGCACAGTCAATCTCAGGATCGTATGACAGAGCAAGGAAACTAAAGCTTAGACATTCTACTCAGAATACCAACAAGGGATGCCCGGGAGCAGGAAGTATCAGGGAAATCATGGAGAAGAGGGAGCTCAAGAAAGAGGCCTCACAATTTTGGCTGTGAACTCCTAGGTCTTCTTGCAAGTGGTGTATGCATGGATCTGACCAAAGCCTTTGGTCTCCTTGGTAGACCACTGCTCGGGTCCCAGCCTGACTACTGGGCTGCACAGCACATGAGACAAATTCAAACAGCACTGTAGAGGCTGTGGAAACAGAACCCACATTAGAACCACAGTGTGCAGAGAGTGGTCAGGAGCTTCCACCTGGAGCCTACATGGGTGGACTGCCTGCTAAAATGCAACAGTCAACGTCCTCCATAGGATTTAAACACGACCTATTCCAGTGTCCATACATAATATTCAGAAGATACAAGATACAATTTTAAATTACCCAAAATATGAAAAACCAGGAAAGTCAACACCTCTAACAAGGAAAAAGACAGTCCAAGCATAGCAGCTTCGAGACTACATGGCCATTGCAGTGAACACATAAAGATTTTAAATAATATAACCACACTCTAAGAATTAAGGGTGTAGCTGGGCATTGTGGTGCACGCCTGTAGTCCCAGCTACTCCAGAGACTGAGGCAGGAGGATCACTTGAGTCCAGGAATTTAGGCTGCAATGGGCTATGATTGTGCCACTGCACTACAGCCTGGCTAACAGAACAAGACACTGTTTCTTTAAAAAAAAAAAAAAAAGAAAAAAAAACATACGTGAACACTATTGAAACAAATGAAAAGAAAGTTTCAGCCAAGAAATAGAAGATATGAAAAAGAAGCAAAGATACACCCATGTGTGTTATATATATATATACACACACGCACACACACAAAAATAAGTACAAGCAGAATTGTGGAAATCTAAGACTGGTGAATTGTATCACTGCCAATATCCTGGTTGACATATTATACTTATTATGCCATAATTTTGCAAAATATTACCTTTGGAGGAAACCCAAAGTGTCCAAGGAATCTCCTTGTATTGTTTGTATAAAAACTTTAAATATTTTATAACTGAAAAATATAATGAAAAATAAAAATGTCCTCTTCAGGTTGCCTTCATAAAATGTCTCCTCTCCACCCTCTTCATTCAGTTTCTGCTGTTGGAGTTCAGGCTCTAATGGCTGGACTATGCTAATAACGTCTGACTGGTCCCTGCTTCCAGCCTCTCCCGCTGTGGTTTCGTTGCAGCCCTGCTGTCAGGAGAGTGTTATTTAACTAGACTCTGTTCATGCCAGTGTTCCTTTTCAAAGCCCAGCAGAGGCTCCTTCTTTGCAGAAGGGTTCTCAGTCCTTAGCGGGGCACTGTCACCCCCTCTGAGGTGTTACTGTGACCTGTCTGTCTAGTCTGGCTTCTCCTACATTCCGGAAGTACTCTAGTCCAGCCAAGCTGCTCACCATTTTCTGTGTCTTTCCTTAAGATTTTCTTTTTGTCCATCCAGAATGCCTGCCCTCAGCTCTTCCTCACCATATGGCCAGTATTCTCAGGAAGAAATCTGACCTGTCCCTCAGGACCCATCTCAGAATGTGATCATCTTGATGAGACATGAATTTATCTTTGTAGCCACTGTTACTGTCTCCTTCTCATATGCTAGTACTTATACTAAAACATGTCCTCATATGTCTGTGCAGTTGTTATCCAGTATGTTTTCAGAAGTGAGTAAGACTTAGATAATGAGGGATGCATGTACTTTAAAAAATACATTTTATGTTTAATGTTAAAATTTTAATGTTACAATTCTTGCTGAAAGTGTTTCATTTTTGCGTCCAAGGATTAATGACATCAAAAAAAGATAGTGCTTCTGAGTCAACACTTTCATTACCTCCTGGGGAAGAACTGAAAACTGTGACAGAGAAAGACGGTAATATACCTTGTAACCTCTGTTTCTCAAAATTGAACTTTTGATGGAACTTTAAATTAATAGTCGGAAAATAGTTTATATGGAGGTTAAGTTTTAAAGTTGGTAAGGGAGAAATTATAGTCAAAACTAAACTTGGAAATCACTGAAGCAGCTCATACCAAGCTATATACATTATATTTTGTGTGTGTAAAACACTGTACTATGATTCTTTTGTCTTACTTAAATTAGATAACTACTGGACTAGATTTAAGAAAATAAAAGGAAATTCCATAATATAGATAGCTCTACACAAACGTTTCATTTGCCTTTAGCTATCAAATCATTAGATGAATTGAGCATGAGTATTCCTACTTGCCTCCTGGTTTAACTCAAAACATCTTAATATTAAGCTTTTGTTGCCTTAAAATATACTAATATCATGTTTAATTTTTGTATAAATAAGATGGAACTCTGTGTCATCTAAGGTGAGAGGTGAGTGATGGTCATTAGATTAAGTAGTCAGTTTACATCAATTGATGTGGTGACACCTCGTATATAAGATTGTGATCTTACCGTGGGAATCCTTAAAATATTATTGCTTGTGTTATAAAATCTTTTATAGATAAACTACAGTTGCTATTTGGATGAAATCAGACATTTAATTTGACACTAGATAATCCATAATTGAGGAAGTTAAATGAAGAGTTTCAGAAAGATTTGCCTCGACGAGCTGCTTCTTGGTCCACATCTTATTTTCCGCAGTTTGACACGTTCTTTTTCTTTATCTGTTGCAGTCGCCCTGCTTGGATCTGTCAGCAGCTGCTCCTCTACATCTTCTTTGGAACACAGACAGAGCTACCCCAAGAAACAGAATGCAATCAGCAGTAACAAGAAGACAATGAGCAAAAGCCCTTCCCTTTCATCCAGAGCCAGTGCTGGTATCTATGGCTTTTTCAACCAGGCTTTCTTGGTGTTTTTTATCTTGGTTTGTTTGTAAGTAGATTTGCTCTTTTTAAATGTGTAGAAGGAACCCTTTACTTCAATCAGATTGAACTACTTTTACTCTTCCCCCGCCTCCCCCTGAGCCTTAAGCCTTAAGACTTTGCATTTATTTTCATGTAATTCATTCTTAGTGGTTTCACCTCATCTGAATTTAGCCTCTTCATAGGACTTTGTGTCATCTTCATATTTAAAAAGCATGCGTTCTCTGTTTTTATTCAAGTGGTTGTTTCAAAACTATGTTTGCTTAAAACCTAGGAGAAGGTCAGAGGTCCTCTCCCAGGATGGCAATACCAGCCAGTTCTGAGACAGCTTTTTTAACTAGCCGTGAACCTGCATAATCTCACTCAGTCCACATTTCTTCAGTTATTTGTAAAGATAGGTAAAACACTTTATCAGACTTCCTTTTGAAATGACATAGATTTTGTCTGTTGCAGTTCACTTATTTGCTGCCTACACAGTGAACTTGTCCGGAAAGGCAAAAGCCATCCTGGCAAAAATTGTTCTTCATGAGCCCCTTTATTACCAGAGTCTTTTTTAGTACTTCTATTAATAGTACTTGTACTGAACCAACATTTTTTTATGGAAAATGTTCATGACAGATTTTTAAAAAAATACTTGATGGGAAAAAACCTCCCAAACTCTCAACAATAACATTGACATAATAAGCCTAAACATTGGGATCCTAAAAGTAGAGAACCTGAAAGTTTTGCCTGAAGTTGTTTGCCTGGAGTATTTATTCTCTAAATGGCTTCCTCTCTCCATACCCCCACCAGTTTGTTGTCTTTATGTTGTGAGGAGCAGAGGTGAGAAGGTACAGTGCTGACACAGCCGTCCTGTTTGTCCGAATTTCATTCACGTTTTAAGGCCCCCTTCATTTGGCATTTGCACTTTTGACATTTATTTGATTTTAAAATTTATATGTGGGTATGGAATTTTTTTAACCTTCTAAACAAAGTAGTCTAGCATGCCTATATATTTACCTTTTAAAAAATAAATTTGAGGGTTATGTTGACTTAATAGTGAAGATGAAGAGAGTTATCAGAGTGAGAAAGAGGACCTTTCAAAGAGGGAGATGGGCAGAGAATGGGAGATATGGGAAAGTCTGTGTTGGGAACCCCAGAGACATTTACTTAAAACATGTTTCTCGAGTGAGTAGATATTCCACTTTTTCTGTAGATTTGCATTTGAGGGAGATGTAGACGGCAGAGAACGAACAATAATGGAAAGTTAGGTTAAAAAATTAGAGAAAGAAGAATAGAAATAAAGGATTTGGGAAATGGGAAAGGTAGGGACCTCAGCCTCATCATATCCCATAGTTTTTTACTTTTTTTTTTTTTCTTTTATTAAAGACAAGGTCTTGCTCTGTCACCCAGGTGGAGTGCAGTGTTGCAATCATAGCTACTGCAGCCTTCTACTCCTGGACCCACATGATCCTCCCACCTTGGCCTCCCAAAGTGCTGGGATTTACAGGCGTGAGCCATCATGCCTAGCCTGTGTCCCACTTTTGAACTTGCCATCTTTGGTTCATTGTCTACAGGCAACAAGGGGACGGGCCTGAGGATTTCTGGTCACTGAGTCTTGGTTTTAATCTAGGTGTACCACTTACTGGCTGTTGACAGTGTGTCTTAGTTAATTCCTGAGTTTGTATCTTATTTTTCAGTATAATTTTTAGGAAAAGCACTTTATAAACTATGAAATGCTGTAGAATATTAGTTATGATGAGGGCCTAGAACTTGTATAATCCAGACCTTCTCCATGGGTTTATGTTCCTTGTTTAGTTGCTGTGTTTTTGGTCTCTTCTTTTTTCACAATATGACTTATCCTCCATCCCATGCCCTCCTCCAGAGTTCTCTACTCCCTCTCAGATGGCAGCTCTTCAAATCTCTGTTTATGTAGTGACGGGACAAGGCTCAAGCACCCACCTCTTCTCTTTCAGCTGTTATATTTGAACAGCTTTCTAGATCGTATTTCTCTAGGACTTCTATATTTAATAGTGGGCGTTTCAAGGTTTAGTTTTGAATGAATCAAGTTGAGAGGGCAGTGGTTTTGTTCTTAATAACAAAATCAATTTAGGATAATTGGGACCGTATAGCAATTTAACCTTCAAATCGTGCTACCTTTGGCTAGTCACAGTGGCTCATGCCTGTTATCCTAGAACTTTGGGAAGCTGAGGTGGGAGGATCACTTGAGCCCAGGAGTTTGAGACCAGCTTGGTCAACACAGCGAGACCCTGTTTCTTAAAAGAAAGAAAAAGTCAAATCACATGACTTTTTATATAATTTACACTGAGTCTAAGTGAACTATTAATAATATAATTCTAGTATTTTAGTAGAATAGAAATTGGCAAACTATGGCCCATAGGCCAAATCTGACCTACCACTTGTTTTTGTAAAGTTCTTTGGAATCCAGCCATGCACATTTTAAAAAAATGTATTGTTTGTATTTACTTCCATGCTGCAACGGCAGAGTTCAATAGTTGTGGCAGAGGTATGGCTAGCAAATCCTAACATATTTACTGTCCAGCTCTTTGCAGAAACAGTTTGCTGTGACCCCTCTTCTAGTAGAAATGCTGCAGGCAATATTGGCAGAGTTGGTACTTTACCAGGGATAAGGTTTTGTGAATTTCCCATGGCAGTAATTTTCCCAGGAAACTCTTCACGTTTCCTTTGAGTAACTTGACCTCACACGTGAGAAATACGACTGTAGATGACTTATGTGATGAAAGGCATCAGATATCAAAATCACCAACTAACTAGACTAGTTAGAATACCTAGTGTGATTTTTTTGGCTAATGTGCTTTTTGAGTTTTTCTCCTTTTGTTTTTTCTCCTGTTTTCCTGCCCTGCCCCTGTGTCCCTCCCTGACTTGAACAGGTTTGAATTCCTCAGCAACATCTACAGCAAATAATAGCCGTTGTGAGGGGGAACTCCGCCTCGGAGAGAGAGTGCTAGTGGTAGGACAGAGACTGGGCACCATTAGGTTCTTTGGGACAACAAACTTCGCTCCAGGTAACTCATCTGCGTATTTGCTTAACTTGAATTCTTTAGAATACAAAAGGTTTAAAATTTTACATGTAAATAGAATTTAATTGTAGAGAAATCTTGATGAACAGTTTTTATGGATGGCAGCTATAGCACAGAAAATGTGAAACAATGATGAACACTCAGACTGTGTTTACTCAGGTGGATGGTTACCCATACATTTTTTTCTTGCCACTTGTGTTTTAAATGGTCAGTGTTAAAAATCAGTTGTCATTCTCCAGTTTTACTCCTACTGATTGCTGGGTGTGCTAAGTGACAGGCAAACATTTTAGGATTAGATTTTTGCTAAGGATAGTCTTTAAAATAAGTAGTAAATAATGAGTTAACTGTATACCTTTTTATCAGAGTGGCTTGCAGAGAAAAGCACACAAAAGGGCTCAAAATATATTTTTTTGGGGGGCTCTTAAAAATACATGTTTGTGTATTTATATATTCATTCCAATCTATACTTAACATTGTGTTTCCAAAAGTAAAGATTACTTTCTATTTTTTTTTTTTTTTTTTGAGATGGAGCTTTGCTCTCATTGCCCAGGCTGGAGCGCAATGGCATGATTTCGGCTCACTGCAACCTCTGTCTCCTGGGTTCAAGTGATTCTCCTGCCTCAGCCTCCTGAGTAGCTGGGATTACAGGCATGTGCCACCACGCCCAGCTAATTTTGTATTTTTAGTAGAGATGGGATTTCTCCATGTTGGCCAGGCTGGACTCAAACTCCCAAACTCAGGTGATCTGCCCGCCTCGGCCTCCCAAAGTGCTGGGATTACAGGTGTGAGCCACCGTGCCCGGCCGGATTACTTTGTTTTGTATTGTCAGTGATTAATAATTTTAAACAGAAGTCGGTTGAACGAAAATAAGTTTGTATATTTTAAATAGCAATATACTATTTTAACACATGGTGGCATTGCAGCATTTTAGGAAAAGGTTATCTAGAACATTGATTTTTTAAAAAAAGTTTGTAGCATTTAGCCAAGAACTATGAGGGATCTGAGATTTTACCCTACTTGCAAGCTAACAAATTCGCCGGCCACAGTTTCATAGATGTTGGTGGAAGATATTGTGAGTACTAGAGTCATCACAAGTTTGAGACAAAGCACTCTAGTACTCACAGTCATAGCAGTAGCCAGAGTATCGGCATTTTCTTGAACTATTCCCTTAGTGCCAATTCTCACAGGGTGAGAGCGAGTGAGCCAGGTGTCACCTGCACAGCCAGTGTTTTTTTGTTCCAGGAGAGGACCCCAGAACTTAGGGAAACTGAATCTTTAAACTGAACTTATTGTACACATGCCTGCCCTTTGCTCTGGTGGGAGATGCTATCTCTATCCTCCAGGGCTGTCCCCTACACAGACGTTTATGAAAAGGTAGTCTAGAACAAAAGTAGTCTACCAGTAAGACATGTGGAAACATGACAGGACCGTAGGTGACTGTCTCCCAACACAGTCTTGTTTCACTAATACCACTTACAATTAATTGCAAGCCAGCTGCTTGATTTGAGTTAGGTGTTTTATAATTCATGACTTTCTTAGGTCTCCAGGTAGTAATTGAGATTAGTTAGGATATACTTAATATGGGATTCAAATAAAAACTTAATCCCACAGGTAGGTTATTTTTTTACAATTACCATATCTTTTGAGTTCCCTTTCTCTTGATGATATTAAACCAAGGTAGAATGGTTTGATTCTCTGGATATAATTCTTCATTTTAGGTTGATTTCCATTTTAAAATTCATAATGTAAAGCATTTAGAAATTTGGGAAGTAGTAAGCAAATATTATAAAAGGTGGAAACTTTTTTGTTAAAAACGTTCTGTCCTGTAAGGAAGTAGTTGCATCAAAAATAAATCACTGCTGCGGAACAGTGGTAATATCTTCAGTATTTGGAGGTTGTAAGATCTAGATTTGAGAGAGGTCGTATTTAGTCTCATCAGCATTTTTTATCAGCGACACCTTGGAAAGAAAATTAACATTTAATTGGGAAGATATCCATACCACACCACTGCCAAGCTGTAGTCTTTATCGTTAACACTTGCCATATGTATTTCTACTGTATGTTACACGTTTCCAAGAGTTACATGGTTAACATTAGTAATTATATGGTCAATTAAAATGGGAAAATGCAAAAATTATATAGGAAAGCATAAAAGGCAGAAGCAAGTACAACTTGGAAAATTGTAACTATAGCACTGAGAAGTAACAGTGGCAACCAGACTAACCTGGTTTAGGACATTGGGAAATGTGATGACCTATTTTCAGAGCGTTAGTGCGGCTTAACAATAGTTTTGTAGACATTACTTGTATTACATATTAGGAAATGGACTCAGGTATCATCTTTTTATACATAGAGGAAAAAAATTAAGAACTTGTGAATTGGTTTTTTTAGAAGGCATTAAGAACTTGTGAGTTGGTTTTTTAGAAGGCATATAATTAACTCTTTGAACTAGTAATCTGGAAGAAACACTATTTTTGTAATTTGTAATAAGTTTCTTGATATCTATGCCCTATTTTTTACTCGATACTGATTATAAGAGACCAAATACAATTACTACTGTATGCTCCTTTTAAATCACAAATAAATGGACTATTAGATACTTTTAATTGGTCTTGAGGCACCCTCAATTCGAAAATCCTTATTTTAGGATTATGTGTCCATTTACCTTATATTGGGTAAAACCACATTTAAAGCAACCTTGCTACTTTAATTTTAGGCTCTCTAGAAAAGGAAATCCTGTTATTTCCTTCAGAGTAGTAGGTCCTTTTAAATACAAAAAGTCTTTAAAATAATTCTCTCTATTAGCTAACCTAAACCTTTTCATTTAGGTAAAAAAAGATTTTTCTTTTTATCTTGGGTAGAAAAAAGGAAAGAAAAAGCACTCACCATGATGTCTAGTGGTATTTTCTGTAATATTTTTGTTCTTTAAATATTTGAGCGCTGTTTGTGGTGTTCTAATGTTAGGTGAGTAAGATGAAAAGATTGCATGTTCATTTTATGATTTTTAAATCTCAATATTATGTTTCACTTCTTTCACTGAAACACACTATATTACCGAGTCAAGAAGAGTTTTTCATTGCAGCTTTTAGATATATTTTGGTCATATACTGTTTGCACAGTTGCCAATTCTTGCCAAATTTGTGTTTGTGCATTTTATTTTACTCCTTTAATGTACTACTCTGCAATTATACTTGTAAAATGTTTTGCCTGTTCACTTTTCGAATTTTCAGAGTTTACAATTTTATCATTTGAAATCTTAATGAGTATCATGATCTTCCCTCATTTTGGTCATTTATGGAAATGTTAAACCACCTAGACTTTGGTTTTATATAGTAGCATAACAGTTTTGGATAAAGTACAGATGCTTTTAAAATGCAATATTCATGTTCTAGGATATTGGTATGGTATAGAGCTTGAAAAACCCCATGGCAAGAATGATGGTTCAGTTGGAGGTGTGCAGTATTTTAGTTGTTCTCCAAGATATGGAATATTTGCTCCCCCATCCAGGGTGCAAAGGTGAGAGAATGAAATTTATGTTTATTTACAGAAACTTTTTGTAATTTGCAGTGGTTAATAGAGACACTAATTTTATTTTAAAGACATGCTCTGATCGTGGCTCATGTCTTCTTTCAAGGGGTTAACCAACCACCTTCAGAGAGAAGGCTCATGGAAAGCTAAATTTGCTTTGCTGAGGATTTGCAATTTTAAAAACCTCCTTTATTCCTCATTTGCAAACCCTATGAGTATGTGTAGGCTATTAGAAGTGGCGTTTGGAGCTAAGAACAGTGAGAGCAGCAAGCTTAATCTGTCATGCAAACAAAAGTAAAAATGCTCTCTGATTGCTTCAGTCACATCCTAACTACATTAAATTTCCTGCCAGCAGGCACCCCATTCATTCTCCTGCAAACCTAATGGAACCAAAATGGCTTTTTCCTCTGATTTCTTTAGTTTTCAAAAATAGATAGGCAGTAGATCTTTGGGGGAAGTGAAGCTTCAAGGATTTTTATATAATATACCTCCTTGGTGTTTCTTCTTAAGATAGTATCTTTCATACCACCTCATCTGGTTTTAAAAAATAAGTTGAGCAGAAACAAAGTCCTCATAAAATTCCAGATATCATTATGTGAAATGGCTTCTCTTATGCTCTGGAAGAAGTCGGTTGGTATGCCTTTGAGTGGATGGGAAATGGGACTAATCTTTAAATGAGAGATAACATATATGGCATCATCACATTCATGAGACTAGAACTACGATCGCAATCTGGGAGTCTTGTCTAGTTTTCCCTCACAACTAGACTGTTGTGACTATCTCCTGGCAAATTGAAGTTTTTACATCCATTTCTCCCTCGGTTTCTTTTTCTTAGTGAATCATTACATGTTTGTTTAGTATTAATTTCCTTCTGTGATATACTTGATGTAATTTTCTTCTCATTTATGGTGATACAGAATTTAACATACAGTGTTTTGTCGTTTATAAAGTATCTTCACTTAAATGTTGTTTCATTTGATCCTAATAAATATTGATCAGGTAAGCTGGAGAATAATAACTATCACAAATATTTGTTGAGCATTTAGTAAGTGGGTAGGCTCTGTACAGTGTACTTTAGATGCATACTTCATTAATTCCCCCAGACCCTGTGAGCTGTAAGCTATTAGGATCATTCCCATTTTGCAAATGAAGAAACAGGTTTCAAAGAGATAAGTGATTTAGCTGAAGTCATACAGCTAATTAGGCGAGGAGCTGGACTCAGCCTGGGTGTGTTATTTTGTAATTTTTTTTTTGTAAGCCCTTGCTTTTAGATGGTTTGTTCTTTTTTTTTTTTTGTATTTATTTTATAAATGAAGAAAAGGAAGTAGTAACTATGAATAGTGCTCATACATGCTGGGGTCTGGTTGCAGGACTCTTCATATATTAACCTGTTTACTGCTCTCCAGTAACCCTGTGGTGCAGGCACCATGTTCCATAGATGAGGAAAGTAAGTCACAAGAGGTGACGTGTGCTGTGCTCCCAGCTGGGGATTGGAACCCATGTAGTCTGGTATCAGCATGCATGCCCTTAACCATAACCCTATAATGGTTAGAAGAGCTTCAGGGACCTTCTTCAGGGCATATATCTTGTAAATAATTGGTTTGGGAGTAAAATCCATGCTGAGTCACCAGTCAGTCTTCTATGTTCTCATGTTACTTTGGGCATATCTTCATCAAAACATTGCAGCAGTCTCTTAGAAATTTTGTCTGTCTCCTAGTCATGAGGACTGGGATTCTGCTTGTCATGTTTGATTACCCAGAGTACATAGTTTGGCATATTTTAGGCACAGTAAATATTGATCCAATCTGATTCCTGGTTCAGTGGTTTTATGCTGTAACAGCTTTTTCCCCCTCCTTTACATTGTAAAGCCACTTTCTCATGGTTTCATCTTTTCTTTCTTGCTTTGTTTCTGCAGCACACGTTTTTTACTTTTTTTTTTTTTTGATTGCCTTCTATTTGGTTTTCTTTAAGGTGGTGCATTTAAAAGCAGCCCCCTCTGCTTAAAAAAAAATAGGGCTGTCTCTAAATGAACTGCTATCTCAATCCAGCTGTCTTCCTGTCATCTTCTGATTGTCTCATTCATCATCATCAAATACTATTAAGTGTCTTTTAGCACTTATGCTGTGCTAGGCATTCTATAAGCAAATAAAACAGACATGGTCCCTGATTTTGAGGAGTTTCTAATCTGAACTAGCTTTGGAACTCTTGAAAGATACCACTGATCTTCAAAATGGAAGAATTTTAAGCCAGGGACTATCCCAGAATGTTTGCACACATTATTTTTTTCTGCTTGGATGGCTTTCTACACCCACCTACTATTGCCCAACTTTCACCTAGTTAATACCTTTTCTTTGGCTAATATATGACTCAGTCAAAACTTCTTTAGAGAAACTCTGAGAAAACTCACGAGGTTAATCACACATACAGACACACAAACACACACACACACACACAGAGACACATTGCTCAAGTGATCTTCATTAGCATAGTGTTCACTTTCTTAGTTCTTACTATTATTAGGCACTTACTACTAATGAACTGATTACTTCTAGAATTCACTCCCTCTCAACTGTCTGTTACTGCTTCATTCAAATATCCGTCCTCTTCGTAAAATCATATTCTTTGTGTCCATCAGTCTCTCATTGTGGTATGTTGTATATCATGTAAAAATGATGCCTGTGAATTGTAACGTGAAATTGCAAATATTGCAAGAGTTGCAGGATTTCTTGATGGTAATAAGATATGCTGGAGGAAGTGATTGACAAATGACGGCTTTCCAGATTTAGGTCACTAAACAGTTGAAAGAAAATGAGCCTGTCAGGATTGACTTTTTAAAAATAAAGAATGATTTGAATATCAAAAAATGAAGGAAAACCCATCGGGAAAGTGACCTTTATGATTGTGGCTTAGAGTCAAATATAAAGCAAAAGATGTTGAATTGTATTAGTCATATAGTTTTACCAGAAAAGTCACTCACACAAACTCAGCCAATGTATTTTTCTTTCAATTTAAGAATTAGTGCCTTTTTCACAGTATTAATCTAACATTTGTTAAGTTTAATATAAAATAAACATATTTTCATATTTTTAGTTTCACCTTTGAAGATGAAGTTACAAAGAAATAAATTCAGGTCCATATTTTAGGTGAATTCACTTGAATTTTTTTCTACACTAATTATCTTTGGATAGTGAGAACCTCTTCTATTTAATTATTGTTTTTCTTCCATGCCAGATGGAAGCTCATTCCTGGCTTATAATGGACACTCAATAAATATTTGTCTAATGAATGACTACAATTGGGGTGAAAAACTTAGTTGATAGCCAGTCTTAAACCTGAAAACCAGCTACTTCTAACGAGGTGTACTTTGTTTTATTCATAGAGTAACAGATTCCCTGGATACCCTTTCAGAAATTTCTTCAAATAAACAGAATCATTCTTATCCTGGTAAGACTACACAGTTTTGTGGTCCTAATCATTATTTCTTTGCTTTCATTTATTGAAAAATTTTTATTGTGAGGTATATATGTATACAAAAGGGTCTATCAACTGTATTTGTATAGTTTGTGTAATAATAGAGCAGACATCTGTTACCTATCCCGTGGCTGAAGAAGAAGATGACCTGATCTGTAGAAACCCCTGAGTACCTCATCATCTCATCTGCCTCCCTCTTCATATACCCCAACCTCAGGTGGAGGAGTCTTGAATTGCACCTTAATTATTCCTTTGATTCTCTTTATTTTTATCACCCATATATAGATATATCAATAAATAATATGTGTTTAGTTCTGGTTGTTTGCTATTTTGTTATTTAGCATTCCATTGAAATATTCATTCCATAATTGATGGTTATTTGGGTTATATCCTGTTTCTTTTCTATTGCAAACTATATTCTTGTGCACACTTGAAGTTTCTCTAGCATTGCCAGGCATGGGATACCTATGCCCTCCACCTTCCTAGGTAATGCCTGTCTGTCTGTATTGCATACTGTATCTGCGATGAACCGGAGCCTCTGCTGCTCCTCACCTCGTTAGTACTTACCTTGTTTGATTTAGAAGTCTACCTATCTGAAGGGCTTAAATGGTATTTCATTACGGTTTTAATTTGCGTTTTCTAGATTACAAATGAGGATGAGCCTATTTTCATGCTTATAGGCCATATGCCTTTCCTGTATTATGAAGTACCTGTTCAAGTTTCTTGCCCATTTTCAGGGGGTGGTTTGTCTTTATCTTATTAATTTGTAGGCTTCTTTGTGTATTTTGGGGACAAACATTTTGTCAATTTCATGTGTGGCAAATATCTTGCCCAGGTTGTTACTTGTCTTTTAATCTTTTTATTTATTATTTTTGGTGTCTTTAGGTTAGCAGAACTCCTTAATTTTTTGTAGTCAAAATAGCAAAACATGTTATGGTTTGCCCTTTTTGTTTTAAGAAATCTTTGCTTAAAATTGAAATTATGAAGATATTTTCTTATGTTGTTTTCTAAAAGATTTATATTTTTGTGTTTCCCATTTGTCAGTTTACTCAGAATTGATTTTGTGTGTGGTAAGGATCTAATTTCTTTCTTTCTTTTGCACGGATAACTATCTGTGAAAGAATGATTTGTATAATACCAATCCTTGAATAATTGTTGAGGTTAATTTTATGGTCCACTCTAATAGGTATGTTGTTTTAATTTGAAATTCCCTCGTGTTTTAATTTGGGATTTTCTAAAGATGTTTGATGATGTGTTGGTTGCTAGGGATGCTGTGACAAAGTACCACAGACTGGGTGGTTGAAACACAAAAATTGATTTTCTCAAAATTCTGGAGGCTCTACAAGTCTGAGATCAAGGTGTTGGCAGGTTTGGTTTATTCTGAGGCCTTTCTCTATGCCTTGTAGATGGCCTTCTATCTCTGGTGTCTTCATGTGGTCTTTTTCATTGTGTGTGTGTGTGTGTGTCCCACTCTCCTCATCATAAAGACACTAGTCACGTTGGATTAGAGCCCATCCATATGACCTCATTTAACTTAATTACCTCCAATTACATATGACCTCATTTTACCATAATTATCTTCAAATATAGTCACATTCTGAAATGCCAGGAGGTTAGGACTTCAGCATATGAGTTTTTGGGGGACACAATTCAGTCTGTAACAGATGCTGACTATCTTTTCATATGTTTATGTGCCATCTCTTTTTTTGTATTTTTTATTGACATATCATAGTGGTACATATTTTCGGGGTACATGTGATAGTTTTATGCACATATACAATGTGTAATCATTAAGTCAGGGTAATTGGGATATCTATCACCTCAAACATCGATCTTTTCTTTGTGTTGGAAATGTTATAATTCTTCTCTCCTAGCTATTTTGAAATATGCAATAAGTTATTAACTATAATTTCCCCCTGTGCTATTGAATACTAGAACTTATCCCTTCTATTTAACTGCATGTTTGTGCCCATTAGCCAACCTCTCTTTATCCCCCTTCCCACCCACACACCCCTCCCAGCCTTTGATGTTAATCATTCCACTCTACCTTCATAAGATCCACTATTTTAGCTCCTGCACCTGAGTGAGAATGTGTGATATTTGTCTTTCTGTGCCTGGCTTATTTCACTTAACCTCCAGTTCCATCCATGTTGCTGCAAGTGACAGGATTTCATTCTTTTTATGGTGGAATACTCTTCCACTGTGTACATATACTATATTTTCTTTCTCCATTCATCCACTGGTGGACACTTAGGTTGATTCCATATCTTGGCTGTTGGGAATCGTGCTGCAATAAACGTAAGAGTGCGGCTATCTCTTCAATGTACTGATTTCCTTTCTTTTGGATATATACCAGCAGTGGAATTGCTGGATTCTATGATAGTTCTATTTTTAGTTTTTTGAAGAACCTCCATCCTGTTTTTCCACGATGGCTGTAGTACTGCTTATTCTCAACAGCGTACAACAATGTCCCAACAATGGTATGCTATATCTTTTTTGATGAAGTGCCCGTTCACATCTTTCGCTCATTTTTAAATTCTGTTTGCTATTTTCTTATTGTTCTTTGTATATTTTGAATACCAAGCATGTATCAGACATGTGTTTTGCAAATATTTTCCCCCAGTCTGTGGCTTGTCTTTTCATTCTCATAACAGTGTATTTCACAGAGCAGAAGCTTTTAGTTTTAATGAAGTCCAAGTTATCAGTTTTTCATTTCATGAATTGTGCTTTGGTGTTTTATCTAAAAGTCATCATCAAACCCAAGATCACTCTGATTTTTGTCCTGTGTTATCTTCTAGGAGTTTTATAGTTTTGTGTCTTATACTTAGATCTATGATCCATTTTGAGTTAATTTTGGGGTGAGATGTGAGGTCTGTATCTAGATTTTTTTTTTCGCATGAGAATGTCCAGTTGTTGGAGTATTATGTGTTGAAAAGACTGTCTTTTTTTCCATTGAATTGCCTTTGCTCGTTTTTCAAAGATCAGTTGACTAATTTATATGGGGCTGTTTCTGGGCTCTCTGTTCTGTTTCATTGATCTATTTGTCTCATCTTTTGCCAGTACCACACTGTCTTGATTACTGTAGCTTAATAGTAATTCTTCAGGTTGAGTAGTGTCAGTCCTCTGGTTTTGATCTGCTTCTTCAGTGTTGTGTTGGCTATTCTGGTCCTTTCACCTGTGTATATACACTTCATAATCAGTTTGTTAATATCCATAAAATAACTTGCTGGGATTTTAACTGGGATTGCATTGACTATATCGATCAAGTTGGGAAGAACTGACATGTTAATATTTAGTCTTTTTACCTATGAACATGGACTGTCTCCCTATTTATATCTTCTTTGACTTCTTCCATCAGAGTTTTATAGTTTTCCTTATATAGACTTTGTACATATTTTGTTAGATTTATACCTGTGTATTTAATTGTTTGGCATTAATGTAAATGGTATTGCTTTTGTAATAATATATTTTTTTATCTTATACCAGCGTTCTTTTGGTTAAGTATTTGCCTAATATATCTTTTTCTGTCCATTGACTTGTAACCTTTCTATGTTCTTGTGTTTTTAGAATATTTCTAAATGGAATATAGTTAGGTTTTTCTTTTATTATTATTACTATTATACTTTAAGTTCTAGGGTACATGTGCACAACGTGCAGGTTTGTTACATATGTATACATGTGCCATGTTGGTGTGTTGCACCCATTAACTCGTCATTTACATTAGGTATATCTCCTAATGCTATTCCTCCCCCCTCCGTGCTCCCCACAATAGGCCCCGGTGTGTGATGTTCCCCTTCCTGTGTCCAAGTGATCTCATTGTTCAGTTCCCACCTATGAGTGAGAACATGCGGTGTTTGGTTTTCTGTTCTTGCAATAGGTTGCTGAGAATGATGGTTTCCAGCTGCATCCATGTCCCTACAGGTTTTACTTTTTTAAAAAAGTCTGACAATCTTTCTTTTAACCTGAGAGTCTTACTCATTTGCATTTATTGTAATTACTGATATACACTGATGATATTTTTGTTATTTGTTTTCTATTCACTTTTTTGTACTTAATAAGTGATTTTTATTTCTCAACTTTATTCTGGCTATATATCCCACCCTCTGTTTTTTTTTTTTTTTTTTTTCATTCTGTTTACTCCCTCTACTTATGTAGAAGTTATAGTCTATGAAGATGCTTCTTAGTAATTACTGTAGATAATTTAGCATTAATACTTGGTAAAGTCTGAAGTTAATGATTTTTATCCTTTCTCAAATAATAGAAAATAATTAGAAACTGAGTTGTCCAGTTTATATTTTATTTCTCCTATAAATTTGACATTATTGTAGTAGTTTTATATTGTAACATTACTCTCATATTTCCCAGTATCTTTACTCATTAGTCTCATATTTCCCAGTATTTTTACTCATTAACCTTCAAAATTTCTACTTGGGATCATTTTTAAAATTTCATGTATATTCTTTAAAATTTCTTTTAGAAAGGGTCTATTGGGTAGCAAACTCTTTGTTTTTTGTCTTTTCCAATGATAATTTTACTCGGTGTAGAATTTTAGGTTGAAAGATATTTTCCCCTTGCATATTGACAGTATCGTGCTGTTTTTTGGCTTCTGTCATTGTTGATGAGACGTCATCTGTGAGTCTAACTAATTCATATTAGTCGTTTCACTATGATATGTCTAGGTAGAGATTCCTTTTTGTTTATCCTTTTTGTTTGGCATTATGGATTTTTCTGTATCTGGGAGTTGATCAATTATTTACAATTCTTATAATGTTAGAATAGTTTCTCCTTTATTATCTTTCTTAGCTCCTTCTGAAACTCTGTTTAGTAGTATGTTGGACCTTCTCATTTTCTTTCCCATGCTGTCTCATATTTCTCACAACTTGTCACTCTAGACTATATTTTGGATATTTTCAGACCCATCATTCTGTTTCCTGATTCTCTCTTCAGCTATGTTTATTCTGCTGCTTAATCCAGCCATAAAGTTTTAAAATTATGAAGATTGTCTTTTTATTTCTGTTTTCAAATCTGCTTGCGACTTACCATTGCAATTCTTTCCCCGTATTTTCAAATTTTTCTTTTATGTCTTTAAATATTTAAAGTATTATCTTTTATTTTGTGTTAAATAATTCAGTATCTAAAGCCTTTGTGAGTCGGATTCTGCCATCTGTTTCTGTTGAGACTAACTTATGGTTTGCCTTCTTTCCTTGTGAGTTTTGTAATTTATTCTTGTGAGATGCTTGTTTTACTCAGAATTTTATATATAAAAATTCTTTGAGGCCTGCGTAGATGCCTCCAGACAAGATTATATCTACCTGTGCCAGTTGCCTGGAGGCACTGCCAACCTGGGACACTTTAATTTATAGTCTCTGCAACATATTTTTGCAGATAACATGAATTTCATTCATGGTAACAAATTCTGAGGGGAGAAAATTTTGTCTCTTACTGAGGATTAAGGTTGACATAAGTGACTTTCCTTTGTCTTAATCTGAACGGTGTTTCGTTTTGTTTCTCATTTCACCTTGCACTGAGAGTGAGCTGTTTGGGATCCTCACTTTAACCAAGAATTTTTTTGTGAGACTCCATTTGGAGGCCCTAGGCTTTATTTCCTTCCCTGTCTCCTGTGCAGCCAGTAAGGAGCTGCACAGCCCAGGTCCTCTGGAATTCAGTGGAAAGCCTGCTGGTATAAGATGGTCAATTACTTTGGTGCTTGGGGGACTCTGATGGTTTCTCTTTTTTATTTTTAGCCTCTTTGAAATTGTGCCTTTTGTGTCAGCTCAATAGTATTTTTTAACAATTATAGTTTTAAACTAAAATTGTGTCAATCAAAAGATTCATTTAGCACATCTGGTCTGCCATAACTGGCCAGGCTGGAAGTCTTATTTCTTTTTAAAAACATCTTTTTAAAAATTTACCTGTTGTGAAGTGTTTTTGTTTCTGTTGTATTATTTGGAGATGCCAACAATTAAAAGCTCTGAAGTTAATTGTTCAATGTTTTATGAATGATTATATCTTTAAACCATTTTATCTTTTTCTTTTTTGTATGATTATCAAGATTGTCATATTTGATAGTAAAAATAATTAGCTTTATAAATGTGTGATTCAATTTTATTTGATTTTTAAGAAATCTTATAATGAAATTCTCCAAATATAACGTCATGCTCTTCACTTATTCATCTATGTGTATAGTTTGATCATGAAGGTAAAGATGAAAATTTGTTAAGAAATCTAAACTACCATTATATTCTGTATACTTACCTTCTCTGTTTTCTTTTCTTTTTTAATGAGATAGGATCTCACTCTATTGCCCAGGCTGGTCTTGAACTCCTGAGTTCAAGCAGTCTTCCCACTTGGCTTCCCAAAGTGCTGGGATTACAGGTGTGAGCCACCGTGCTGGCCTGCTTTCTGTTTTGAAAGAAACATTTAATATAATAGAACATCTATAGAAGAAGTGATAAAATATCATTTTAAATAAGAACTGAAAGCTTATATTTTTCTTCTTCTAACCCCAACTTTCATATTTAGGTTTTAGGAGAAGTTTCAGCACAACTTCTGCTTCTTCCCAAAAGGAGATTAACAGAAGAAATGCTTTTGCCAAGTAAGTATTAAGAAGATTTAGAAAAACGCCTTTCAAGATGAACATGATGGGATTCTGTGAAGAAAGAAAAGTGGAGTGCTGTATCTTTTGCATCGCTTGGTAGAGTTTTAACACGTAGGAGAAAAGGTGTGATGAGTGTATTGAGAAGAGTTCTTCCTCCCTCCTTTGCAAGCGCAATTAAAAATGTCATCAGTGACTAAAACTAGTGCACTGCATGTATTTTATCTTCATAGAGGTTAGAACTGTTAATAAAAGTTAGAGGAATTTACATATTGTCTTTTCATTAAGTAGGGCGGATTGCTTTTAAACTCTCCTTAAGTAATCAGAGATTTGATTTAATATTGCCAGTGATACATGAAAGAAATGTAAGGTGTAATCTTACCAGTTATTCTGAAAAATGCTCCCAATTCCTCTTAAGAGTATATTGCTCACAAAAGCCTTTTGTTGTGTTGTTTTGTTTTGTTGTAGAGAGAATGCCCTTTGCTCTTTTTCATTTTTGTTCATCTCCCCCAGACCCACTTTACTACTCCCCAGTGGTTTTCTGAAGCTTTTTCACTTTAGAACAATATGAGGCTCTTCCAGACTGATTGGGTTTAGAGGTTCTTTTTTTAAAATGCTGCCAGTTAATCTATGAATAATACCCTGGGGGAAAAGGCTTAGCTGCTTAGGGAAGTACACATGCTTGCTTAAGTAGTGGGACCCTAGCAGCCACCAGAAATTAGAGCCCAAAGGCTAGAACTTGATGTCCCACCGGGGACAGGCAGGTCATTTGTTTACCTTCTGGCATGAAGGTATTGGCAAGCTTCGCAGAGGTCTGAAATTTCACAGGAGAAGCCTGGCTGGTCCTAAGGACTGTTAGGTACTGTTGAGAGGGTTGGGTGGGACTGTTTTTCTCCCTTCCTCAAAACCATCACCAATTTTGAGAATTTTGAAATTGGTCTTCTTGCTTGAGTAGCTGAAAGAGTTTAAGGGCAGTCAGTTTATGCTCCCAGTTTATTGAAGATATTCAAGAGTTCCTAGGCAGAATGGAAGAAGCTGCTAAGAAGAAACAACCAGGAAATAAAGGATTCTGAAGGGAGAGAGGTATCCAAATCAGTGTCGAGATGCTGGTGAGTGGAAGAACATGATACAGAGAAGCAAGGGAAGGAGAAAACAATCTGAGCCCTGGGAATTATACAGCAGGTATGGTTATACACAAGGCGCTCTGCAGACGTGAGGTGGAAATATCAGTACTTCCCTGTTTTCTCTAAAACTAAAAAAGCTTTAGTAATATTTATACAGGTTAACACTAGTACCTTAAAAATATACTTTTATTGAGCATAGAGAATAAACTTTTTTTTTTTTTTTTTTTTTTTGTGAGATGGAGTCTCACTCTGTTGCCCAGGCTGGAGTGTGGTGGTGCGATCTCGGCTCACTGCAAACTCCACCTCCCAGGTTCACACCATTCTCCTGCCTCAGTCTCCCGACTACAGGTGCCCTGCCACCATGCCCTGTTAATTTTTTTTTTTAAGTGGAGACGAGTTTTCACCGTGTTAGCCAGGATGGTCTCGATCTCTTGACCTGGTGATCCACCCACCTTGGCCTCCCAAAGTGCTGGGATTATAGGCGTGAGCCACCACACCTGGCCGAGAGTAAACTTTTTACGTTATTTATTTATCTGTTTTTACTCATAATGTGTGCAACCAAAATGTTTGGTGATCATTGTTCTCAGGAACAAAAGAAAGGGTTTCAGGTCTGGCAGGCACTAGGACATTTGTCCCTGCTCTTAGGGATGAGGGAAACAGGGCAGTGCTCGATGGCCTTCTGCTAAGGGGCCAGAGTTGATTGCGTGTTGTGCTGTTGTTAACCTGGAGATGTGGTGCGTTCTGAGGCACATGTGTTGAAAAAGTGCGTTTCTTGAGATTCATCCAACTCTGCTCCATTTCCTTGCTTATTTGTATGGAAATAAATGATACTTTGAGAAGAAATGTGGAGAATTGAGTCAGAGATGATGGACGTTCTTGGGTAGAAACTTGAAGGTCTTGGAGGACACATGTGGCCCCTACGAGTGAAAGCAAGCTGGGAGAGGGGAAGGAACAGTCCCCCCATGCCCTTTCTGTGAGAAAACAAGATTTTTCTAGATCATGTACAGAAATGGTAGTGAGGAGTACGTTTCATCCCGAGGAAGACATGGCAGAAAGGGGGAGGGAAGCAGCTCTGTCTTCAGAACACTGTATGTCCAGTGCCAAGAATTAGCTTGAGATTTTACCACACAGGTAAAATCAGGTCACAGGGACCTGATAGGCATGAGGCATCCATTCTCCTTCACTCTGCGGATGTCTCCATCCCGTCTGGGATCTGTCTCCTGTCCCATGTTACTAACTCGCTTCAGCTCTTCTCCATGTTATCAGCAGGGCTTGCTCAAAGATCCTCACTGGGTCCTGTCTGTGGAATCTGGTTCACTGGCATGGTTTGGTCAGCCCAAATTTGATTGTCTTTAGGCGGAACTCGTATGATCCTGTCTGCCACAGGTCTGGCCTCTCACATCATGTGCTTGGGTTTGTTTTCTACCTGTCCCTTAAAGCTTTCGAATTCTCAAACACAGAATGAAGTCCAGTTTCATTGGCCCAGCATACAGAGACCTACATGATTGGCTCCTGTGTTTCCCTGACTTTTGTTTCATGGTAATATCCTCACAGGTGATTGCAGTTCTCTAAACTGTATGCTTTTCAGGAATATAAAAAGTAACATATATTTTGGCCGGGCACAGTGGCTCATGCCTATAATCTCAACACTTTGGGAGGCCGAGGCGGGAGGATCACTTGAGGTCAGGAGATCGAGATAATCTTGGCCAACATGGTGAAAGCCCGTGTCTGTTAAACTACAAAAAATTAGCTGGGTGTGGTGGCTTGCACCTGTAGTCCCAGCTGCTCAGGAGGCTGAGGCAGGGGAATCGCTTGAACCCGGGAGGCGGGGGTTTCAGTGAGCCAAGATCACACCACTGCCCTCTATCCTGGCAACAGAGCAAGACTCCGTCTCAAAAAAAAAAAAAAAAAAAAGAAAAGTACAAAAACTAGCTGGGCATGGTGGCAGGCACCTGTAGTCCCAGCTACTTGGGATGCTGAGGCAGATCACTTGAACCTGGGGGGTGGAGGTTGCAGTGAGCCTAGATTGCTCCACTGCACTCCAGCCTGGGTGACAGAGCAAGATTCTGTTTCAAAAAACAAAAAAAAGTAATATATATGTTTTTCTCAGACGACAATCTCTGCATTTCCTTTTCTGTGTGCTTATCTTTCAAGCTGGCAGAAATGTCATTTCCCCACTAACGTGTCTTTCCTGAGGCTTTAAGGGAGAAGAGACATCTTCCTCTTCTGTGCTGTATACAGTCTTTATTATAGTATTTATAACATTTTACTGACTATTATGTACAAATACCTAGAACGTAGCCCCATGCCTGCCATTTCATAGGTGGCCAATACATGTTTTTGAATGAGTAAACGGAGCTCTCAAACATACCGCAATTCTAAGTGTCTCAATTCTCTGGCTTTTGAGCTTTGACATACCTTGAATCAGATAAATCATTCTTATTAGAATGTGAAGTGTTTACCCAAGCCATTAATTTTTGGTTTAGATGTTGAATCCATTATTTGCTTGTTTCTTTAAAAGCTTTTTTGATTATGAAAGTTGTATAATATTTGAAAAATTAAGAAAAACCAAATGTAAAAAGGTCATCTGTAATGTTGATATCTAGATGAGATTATCACTGTTAGCATTTGGTATATACTTTTCCAATTGTTTTCCTAATGCATGTGTCTGATTTTTTTTTTTTTTTTTTGAGAGGGAGTTTCACTCTTGTCGCCCCAGCTGGAGTGCAATGGTGTGATCTTGGTCACTGCAACCTCCATCTCCTGGGTTCAAGTGATTCTCCTGCCTCAGCCTCCCAAGTAGCTGGGATTACAGGCCCGTGCCACCATGCCCAGCTAATTTTTTGTATTTTTAGTAGAAACGGGGTTTCACCATGTTAGCCAGGCTGGTCTCGAATTCCTGACCTCAGGTGATCCACCTGCCTCGGCCTCCCAAAATTCTAGGATTACAGGTGTGCACCACCGTGCCCGACCATGTGTCTGAATTTTTAAGCAAAGGGAAATGAATCATATTCCATATACCCATTTCAAAGCTTTCCCCCTGTATGTCGTGCTCGTATTCCCATATTCTTTAATAGCTTCCTTCCGCGTTACTTTAGCAATGTTTTTAAAGACTGTGCCGTGATATGAAAACATTTTTATGTTTTTTTTTCATTAATTTTTTTTGAGCCTCAGATTCTTCTTCCGTTATAAGGAGGTAATAATCCCCTCTTCACTGGTTTGGGTGAGATCAAAAGAGATAACGTATGTGAAGTGTTAGGTACCTACTGATTGTTCAGGAAGTGATAGCTGTTGTCATTATTCATGTGAAAATTACAGTAATTTTGTCAGGTTACAAAAATTTATTCACAATAATAAATGAAAAAAATCAGAATTTAACTTGTAATAGATGCCAGACTTGTAAAACATGTATTGAACTCTCCCCTTCCTTGCACCTTCCCCAATACTTCCTGTCTCTTTCTCTACATATATGTATGTGAGGGTGTTTTTCAATATTTATGTATTTATTTGATGAGTCTTACTCTGTCACCCAGGCTGGAGAGCAGTGGCACTATCTCAGCTCACTGAAACCTCCGCCTCCCGAGTTGAAGTGATTCTCGTGCCTCAGCCTCTCGAGTAGCTGGGATTACAGGCGCCTGCCACTGTGCCCCTCTAAGTTTTATATTTTTTGTGCAGCCAGGGTTTCACCATGTTGACCAGGCTGGTCTGAAACTCCTGGCCTTAAGTGATCTGACTGCCTCAGCCTCCCGCAGTGCTGGGATTATAGGCGTGAGCTGCTGTGCCTGGCTCTGTTTTCAGTTCATGCATTAAAGGTCTTTATTGGCAGTTAATTTTAATGTGGAGGAGTGGTGAGAATCATAGCCTTTGTCTCAGCTAATTTTTACAGCACTTCTAATTCCATGTTCACTCCTTTTTCACTGCTTTGAAGTTTTACTTTTTAATCACATGTAAAATAATTATGTGTATGTTTCATTTTTCTAAAATACGTTTTCTGTGTCATTTAAAACTACATTCTTATGCCAGAGCCACATTATTTTAACTGTTTTAACTTTATAATTTAACCTAATGGCAGCGTAAACCTTGCCTCATTATTTTTCAACCTTTTCTTAATTACCAGTACCCATTCTGTTTGTGAAGAGAGCCTGGCCTTTGTGCTTATGCAGCCATGGATCTGAGCCTCATCTTTGCTCTTTTCATCTCTCTGACCTCAGGCACATAGCTTAATTTTTTTGAGCCTCAGATTCTTCTGCCGTTATAAGGAGGTAATAATCCCCTCTTCACTGGTTTGGGTGAGATCAAAAGAAATAACGTATGTGAAGTGTTAGGTACCTACTAAGTGTTCAGGAAGTGATAGCTATTGTCATTATTCCTGTGAAAATTACAGTAATTTTGTCAGGTTACAAAAAATATCCATTTGGGGAGGATTAACCTATATACATTTCTGTTTAGTAACAGAGCTCCTCCATGTGTGTTCTTCAGTAAAGATTTATGCTTTTTCTTACAGGTATTACATGTTTCTTCAGTAAATTTATTATTTGTGCATTTGACGTGTGAATAATTTAAGACTATTTTCTAATTAGAATTCTATCACGTACTTGCAGATGTGGCTTAGAATAAATCTCTGAGCCTCAGTTTTCCTATCCATTAAAATTAGTCATCTTCCTTTGTTGCAGGGTGGTTAATAGGAGCAAATGAAACATTGTATGTGACAGTGTATTAAAAATATAGAAAGTGAAATGAAATATGAAATAAGAGCCAGATTCTGTTCACAACAAGCTGCTGTGTAGTTTTAGTAACAGGTTCTGTGTTGAATCTCCTGTGGGGTAGGGAGAAGGGTTTCTTTTGGAGGGGGGTGGCATGGGATAGAGGATGGAAGGCTCCAGGTAGTTTTGGTGGTTTCTTGCCGTTTTGGAAGGTCTCAGCCCAGGGGGCAACAAGACTCTGGTCATGTTTCTGTTGTGGGTGAATATCAGGGTCAGTTACTTCCAGTGGACAGTGCAGGCAGCTCTGGGGCAATATGGCCTTGAGGCCTTGGGTGAGTGCACTGGGGAGTCCCATGCCTCATTATCAGGTTGTGGTGGTGGTGAGTGCTAGGAGACGTTCTAGCACATTGTAAGGAATGTTATGTTGTAGGGAGAAGGAGAGGCAGCTGCTCCAGGCACCTCAGACCCTCATTAGTGTTAGTGGCTGGGAGGGTGCTAAACTTTTAACTGTAACTGGAGTTTATACATAGAACATATGTGCATATATGTATAGATATTTCCAAAGTTGTAGATTTACAGTTTTTGAAATTTGTTTTCATATGAAAATATATTTTTTTCGAGTGAACAAAAAATAAATTTACTACACTGTCAAAATACTAGATTCTTTTCTTTTTGCTTTATTTGATAATATTGATAGCAATTAAAACAGCCAAAATACTAGATTCTTTCTTTTTGCTTTATTTGATAATACTGGTAGAAATTAATTAGGTATAAGTGTATTTTTTCTAATTGCTATTTTACTGAAAGCATATATATGTATATGTGTGTGTACATACACATATATATGTGTACACACACACACACACACATATATGGCAAATGAAATCTTAAATCCAGAATAGGGTAGTTTTAAAATAGCGCAAAGACAAAAACTTTTAAAATGTTAAACAAAAGTACAGTTGAACTTTGAGTAATGAGTGCGGGCATTTAGGAGTGCCATCCCCTGCTTGCCTGCACAGTTGAATGAAAATCAGTGTATATCTTTTGACTCTCCCAGAACTTAACTACTGATAGCCTACTGTTGACTAGAAGCCTTACCTATAACATAAACAGCTGATTAATACATATTTTGTATGTTACATGTAGTATGTACTGTATTCTTACAATAAAGTAAGAAAAAAATGTTAAAGTCATAAGGAAAATATATTTACTATACCTTAAGTAGAAGCAGATCATCATAAAGATCTTCATCTTCATTGTCCTCACTTTGTGCAGCCTGAGGAGGAGGAGGAGGAAGAGAAGGGGTTGGTCTTGCTGTCCCGGGTGGCAGAGGCAGAAGAAACTCCGTATATACGTGGACCCACATACTTCAAATCTGTGTAGTTCATGGGTCAACTGCATATTTTAAAACTGCTATTTAAGATTTGAAAATCAAGTTGTGACCATAAAGTATTCTCTTTTGGGAACTGAATGAATGAATTCTGCATCTGGCAGTGGAAATGATATCAGGAAATGATGGCTGTCGTAATTCTTTATGTGAAAATCACAGTAATCTTCAGCACTAAAGAATTTTCCCCACTTTTCCCTTCCGCACAGATCGAAAGCTGCTTTGCGTCGCAGTTGGAGCAGCACTCCCCCTGCAGGTGGCATTGAAGGGAGCGTGAAGCTGCACGAGGGGTCTCAGGTCCTGCTCACGAGCTCTAACGAGATGGGTACTGTTAGGTACGTGGGCCCCACTGACTTTGCTTCAGGTATCTGGCTTGGACTTGAGCTCCGAAGCGCTAAGGGAAAAAATGATGGGTCAGTGGGCGACAAGCGCTATTTCACCTGTAAGCCGAACCATGGAGTCTTAGTTCGACCGAGTAGAGTGACCTATCGGGGAATTAATGGGTCCAAGCTTGTGGATGAGAATTGTTGAGTTAAGCTTCTAAAATATTAAATAAGCTCGAAT